TTGTACACCTGTGCGTGCTGCTGCCTGCGCGCGCACAGAGTGGATGCTTTGCTTCTGTTCTTACCTGACCCTGAGACCCTGATGAGTGTGGCAACAGGGGTTCCCAAAATGCTTGCCTGAAGCTTCTCATCCTCACACTTGCTCAGTGAGGTAGTTTTGAGTTAGACTTCATAGAGGAAAGTAAGGGGCTCTCTTTCAGGGTCAGGTGCAGCAGGTTCAAGGAGGGGAGTGGGCACCCTGTGAGAGTTCCCACGGCTAGTCCCCAACATCAGTGAGCTCCTATACCGAAGCTTTGTTCTACTAAAGGGTTGAAATGCTAAATCTGATTTACAGAAGGAAAAAACCCAAAGGAACAAAAAAACCCCACAACTCAGATCACCCAGAGGGCCATTTTAGGGTTGAGCTGGAAGCCCTGGGAAATTCAGGGGATGAATAATCAGTTTGCAAAATACTCAAAGCAAAGCATCGGTATGGCTACTTCACCCATGGAAACAGGCCCCAGCTGTGGCTGGCGATGATCTGAAAGTCTCTGCCCTCAGAATCATTGGCATCTCAACTACACGTCCAGACCTTGGGCACTGATGTCATCAGACGAAGGCAACAGTGGGGACTCAAAGAATGTTCTTCAAAAAGTCCAACACCTTTGGCTACTGTGGATGGAATGTTGCTCCGGAAAATACACATTCCTCGGTATTAAGGATTTTATTTTCTTCACTTATTTGGGTATCTAGAAATAAAGAGATCAGGGGCTGGGGCCGTAGCTCAGTGTTGGAGCACTTCCCTGGGTTCAATCCTCAGCACCACATAAAAATAAATAAATAAAATAAAGGTTTAAAAAAAGCAGGAAAAAAAATAGAAAAATAATAATAATAAAAAAGACTAGGAAAAAAGCACTGAAAAGCAATAAGGAGACTAGAATTTTGTAATGATTTTTATAGCCAAACAGCACTGTGAGAAGATCCTAAACATGAGTGCTATTTTACCTCGTGTCTGGATCTAAATATTTCTCAACGAGCTTTTCCCATTTTAAAAGTGAGTAAGAGCAAGGACTTGACTCAGCTTTCCAGGCCTCATCGATACTCAGAGACAAATGCTGAGCTCCGTGTGCGCGTGGCAATTAGCTTTCCACATGCATTCTCCAGATCGATGTCTTTAAAATTGGCTGTAAGAGGTGGATTTGCTAAGTGCTGCGTAGGGGTTTAATCCCTTGATTCTCATTACTGTAAGAGCTGTGAATCTAACTCCCCCTGTAGCTGACCCCAAATTTATCCCCTGCTGCCTCACAGTGCCAATTAAATAATAAAACACCCAAACTGTGGTCAGATGTAATTAGTTTGAGAACAGTTTTCAAATGTCCTCATGCCAAGTTTGTGAATTAACCCCTTCTGAGGAGATAAACACAGGATAATTTGGACTAAGAACACGAATCTCCAATTTGAACATTTCTTGTGCTATTTGCCAAGGTGTGCTCTCCCGGGAGTGAAAATAAACTCTAATGGTTGGAAATACAGTTCATGTGATTGTTGTTTTTCTTTTCTTTACTTTTTCTTTTAAATTTTTTTTTAGTTGTGGATGGACACAATATCTTTATTTTTATTTATTTTTTTTTAATGTGGTGCTGAGGATCAAACCCAGGGCCTCACGCATGCGAGGCAAGCCCACTCTACCACTGAGCTACAACACCAGCCCCTGTTGTTGTTTTTCTTATACTAAAAAAAAAATATCTTCCAAAACTTCAGTTGGTCTGAGTTTCGTTGAAAATGTGATACTTTAAAAAAATACAGTTCTGATCGTGAATACATGGACTTCAGTGGTGTATCAGGCAAAGCTGCCTTAAGAGACGGTCTTGTTTGGAAGCTTTCCAGGTATTTCTTAGTCCACCTTTGAAAGTGTATTAGGCTCAGTGGTCATCTTTGGGGTGAGGGGCTGTCTCCTTGGCAACCAAGATCAAGGTGACCCCTCTGCTTGGTGGTGAGGACTCACGTGAACTGTGAATTGTGTAAGATGGGGTGAGGGGCAAAGGATAAGGGGTATTTGATTCTAAGGATATGGGTTGGATATGCTGACATTTCATTTTGTTTTCATTGTTATTCTGCTTCTTTAGTTTGGGGAGAAGGAGAAGGAGAAGGAGAAGGAAGGGAGGTAAGAGTGAAACTTTGGCTACCAAAACCCCCCTCCCATCTGGATGCAGTGGCAGGAGGATCGAAAGTTTGAGGCCTGCCTGGGCAACTTAGAGAGACCATGTCTCAAAATAAAAAAATAAAAAGGAGTAGGGATGTAGCTCACTGGTAATATGCCTCTGGATTCAGTCCTTAATACCAAATTAAAAAAAAAAAAAAAAAAGCAAAAATGCCCCAAACAAAACAAAACAAAAACAACCGTCCCACCCAGGGGCAGTATCATGTCAGGCCATGGGTCTAACTAACATTTTCCTTGTCTTTAGTTCCTAATTCTCTCGACCAAGTATTTCTCACATGAGTCCCCATGTTGGTTTGAACTGGAAAAGGCTGGCACATGAGCTAGGAATTGGCTTGTGATGTTAAAAAATGTTGGTAGCACAGTGTCCCAGGGCTGCTCCTGGACAGGCACCCAGGAAATCACAAATCAGTTTCTGTAGCCTCTCAGATACTGTTCCCTGGGACACTGGAAGATGTTCACCTGTGTGTGTGTGTGTGTGTGTGTGTGTGCACGAGTGTTGGGACATGGGAAAGACAGGTAGTAAACTATAGTCATAATGAAAGAAAAAAACATACTTTTTTTTTCTGTGAAAAATTATCAGACTTAGCAATGATAATCCATGGAAGCCATGCTGAGAACATTCAGGAAACAAGGCCGCTTCTAAAGAGATGATGAGCTGGGAACCATACCTCTGATGTGAACATCTTTCAATATGTTTTGTAAACATATTCACAGAAACTGGTGGACATTTTTCTCGTACAACTCAATTTCTCTCATTTACAACATAAATCATTTAATGTAACGTTTGCAACCTTAGAAAGGCAGACATATTTAATCCAAGTCCGTTTATAAATTCCAATTTCACATGGATTAAAAACTGCAGATAAATTAAGTCACAATAATATCCTGTACATGCATTAAGGCTGGTGACCGCTGAAGTCTCTTGGGTATCTACAAACAGGAAATCACACGCAGATTACTGGGTCTGAAGAGTGTCTACATCATTAAAAAAAATCTTGCCTTTTTTTTTTTCTTTTGGTGATACAGATTTCAACAGTAACTCTGGAAAACTGTGAAAAATGTTATTTAAAAATATATATGTATATGCTACTGCACAGTTTCAAAGATGTGGTTCATAAATAACGTTGGCTTCACTGATTAATTTTATAACAATGACTGCACTTCCAAGGTGATTTGAACACGCAGTGACTTATACTCCATGTTAGGCACTAGTAATATTCGTCAGGCGTACTACAGTTTTATGTTAGCTGTATTGTACATATATATTTTTAAATGTATGCATTTATACAAACTGTGCATATTATGTATGGGGTGTCAGAAATGTACACATCACTGTTATATAATACACACATCATTGTTGTACAGGTTTCGGTGCAGAAAAAAATCTCATTGCATTGCATTCCATGTGTTCAATCTAGCACACAATTTGTCAACTCTTCAGATTATTTTTCCAGTACATTCTTTTTTAGATAGTGGGTCCAAGTTTCCATTTGCAAATTTGAAAGTTTCCAGAAATATCTGTTTTAACCAAATCTCTCCCTCCAGGCACAATTCTGCACATGAGTCTGATCTGTGTAGAGTATTAACTAATGCCAAAGTCTGATCAGGAATATAATTGGGCTGCTCTCTCTGAAAGACAATTCTAACATTGTGATAAAAGGGTGGCACCCATTCAGGTCATGGCGACAAGGTCAGTCGAACCTGTGTTGAACTTCTGAGGAAAGAACGTGTCTTCAAATAGAAAGAAGGGTTAAAAAACATTATATGTTTAAACACAAGACTCTCTGGAAGGATAGACATCAAACCATGAACCATGGTTGTCTCAGGGGGTTGAGACAATCAGAGACTGACACTAGTTTCTACTTTTTTGCATTGTTTCAATTTTTTTTTTATTTGGGATACAGGGGATTGAACTCGGGGCACTCAACAATCATTGAGCCACATCCCAGCCCTATTTGGATTTTAATAAGGTCTCACTGAGTTGCTTAGCACCTCTCTGTTGCTGAGGCTGGCTCTGAACTCACTATTCTCCTGTCTCAGCCTTCTGAGCTGCTGGGATTACAAGTGTGCGCCACCACACCCGTCTCAATATTTACAATGAACAGGTACCACATTTATAATCAGAAAATACAAGAAAGATGCTTCAACTTGGAACCAAACTAGGGAAAAAGAACAAGTTATGAATGATTTCAGAAGTAACAATTAGAAGAGGGGTCCTTAACAAAATCACCTACCCAAACCCAATAGGAACTGCTGCCTGACACACTCTGTAGATGGAAAGAGAGACACTGATAGGACCTGAATGCTCTGACCATCTCCCCAAATGATCAGGTTCTAGAAGTGTTGATGAGAAATGTGTGGATCATCACCCTGTTGCTTGAACGTGTGCTAGCTCAACCACCCAGAGGTCACCTTTTGGGCTTCTCAGGGAAGCACATCTCAGAGGTGCTTCCATAAAGCCTGCAACTTTAAAGCCAGGCAGGAGCAAGAAAGCTCCCTGGGGATGCACAGCAGATACCAAGGGCCACTTTATATGAAAGTTTAAACTTTTCATCTGCATTCACTCAAAGTAAGTAGAATTAAAAAAAAAAAAAAAAAAAAAGATCAGATATTTCTTTGGATTAAAGTTTCCAGCTGGGAGTGGTGGTGCATGCCTGTAACCCCAGCAACTCAGGAGGCTGAGGCAGGAGGATTGCAAGTTCAAAGCCAGCCTCAGCAACTTAGCAAGGCTCTGAGCAACTTAGTGAGACTCTGTCTCAAAGAAAAAAAAAAAAAAAAGAAAGAAAGAATAAAGGAAAAAGAAAAAAACAGGCTGGGGATGTGGTTCAGTGGTATAGCACCCTTAGGTTCAATCCCTGGTACCAAAATAAAAAATCCAGCCAAAGATGGGATCATGAACTCTGCCAACAATTAGTGAAAGGGATTTAAGAAGAACTTCACTTGGGTAAATTAAATGTAAGATGAAAATTCAGGCTGAGAATCCCTCATATAAAAATCCAAAATTCAAAATGCTCCAAAGTCTAAAATATTTTGAATGTCCCTATGATGTCATAAATGGAAAATTCCACACTGACCTCCTGTGACAGGTCTCAGTCAAAACACAAGTGTACTAAAAATATATCCTTCGGGTAATGTGTATAAAATCCCCTTTGGGCTGTATGTCTGAGGAGTACATGAAACATAAATGAATCTCAGTTTAGATTTGGGTCCCCTCCCTAAGATATCTCATTGTGTGTATGTGAATATTCAAAAACCTGAAATCTAAAACACTCTGGTCCCATGCATTTTGGAGGAGGAATGCTCAACCTGAACTGTTAGTATTTTTCAGGTGCTTGAAGGTCAAAGTCAAATGCAAACTTCACAGGCGCTTCACTTGCTCACTGTCAATTAATTCAAATCACCAAAGTTGGTCAACCTCTTGTCCAGTTTTGCATCAATGGCTTAGAACATAGAAATTGTAGATATCTTATTTCCCACCCACCATAAGACCAAGCTAACAAAATGTTATCACTGCAACCAAACCTGCAAAAATATCAGTCTTAGCATGTGGGTGCCACCATCACCTTGAACAAGGGACTGTTTCATAGATTGCAACACCTGTCTTTCTCAGACTGTCCTGGTGCAATTCTGTCAAGTAAGGGGCCTCAAGGACATCCTCTTTGTGGTTAAAGGGTGGCAAGACAGACCCTAACTTTGAGGAGTCATTTTCTGTTTACCAGTATTTCATATCCAAATATATTTAACAAGAAGACTAAATCTAGGACATGACAAAAATACTACCAAACAAATAAAATTCAGACAAAAAAAAAAAAAACTGTAAACAAGATGTCAAAAAACTAAAATGTAAACTTAATTAAAGAAAAAAAAAGAAAGAAAAGAAGAGCCATAGGCAAGACGTAAACATACTAGATGCACAAGACGTAAGCAAGACGCTTTGGGCAGTGCTACCTCAGACAGAATGGCAATCGGTGCAGGAATAAGTTCCCTCGCACCGGAAGCAGCTTGCTAATCAAAGCCTGATTAAAAATATCCCCCAAATCAAAACGCAGCCAAGGCCAGCGGTGGCCCATTCTGCACAGAGAGAATCAGACCGCCTTAGGACAGCTGAGAGCTCTCAGTCTGATAGGCAGCAGATGGACTCTTAGAGAAGGGACGTTCTAGGCAATGTCCCCATTTGGCCACGAAATTTTGCAAGAAAGCTACCGTGGAAAGAAAAGACTTGAAATGTACTGGCTGACAAAAGCCACATGGCTCTACAGCCACCAAGTCACAGTGGCAGGAGGAAGAAATGCACGTGCCTGGAGGGCTTGTTGTCACAGTGCACATTTAAATTCCCAGCCCAGCTCCAAAGCACAGTGGCTGTTGCTCCCGTGTGTGTGGATTTTTAAAGACACTGAGTTGTCACTGAATCCCAGTGCCGCTGTCATGACATGGGGCGTCAGGGAAGGCTGTGTGAATCCATCTCTTTGCTTACGATGTGTTTGGTTGATAATAATGTTGAAGGGGGTATTAGAGGAAGGGCAGGGGATTTGGTAACATGCAATCTAGTAAACTTCTGGCACAAAAATAACTGACTTGTTTTCATTATTCAATTACCCATTAATACACACCCATCAAAAATAATTGGGAAACAGCATATTAATACTGAAAAGTAATCAATAATATAAGAGTCAGGTTCATCTTCACTGGCGGTTAAGCTTTTGGTGTGCTGTATTGCACCTGGTGAACTAACCCATCAGATTTTGGTTGAAGTTTTGGAGAAGTCATGATTTAGCAATTGGAAAAGGAAGTGTGTGTGATTGTGTGTGTGTGTGTGTGTGTGTTTGTGTATGTGTAGTTCCTCTAACCAGGAACTCCTGATCACATTGTCTAGCCTGGGATTATGGAAACCAGACAAAGAATATGTGTTCTGAAGCACTGTGTATCTTACGTACACAGGCAGCTTCTTATACACCCACACGTAAATACACACATGCCCTGGGAAAAGATCATTGCTTGATGCAAAGGAAGTGTTCAATGCAGCTTGATAAATGCTGTGGCTGGGAATTTCAGCAGCACAGTGTCCAGAAACATGGAGCCATCTTGGAGATGAGAGCACAGCCGGGCTCCAGGGTGAGGTCCCTACGGCAGGTGGGCGCTGTTCCGTAGCCAGTGCAGGCCCTGCTGCGAGTACTGGACCAGGTGCTCCATGCTGCTGTGCAGGGTGACAGGCCCCATGAGCAGATCCAGGTCATTAAAGAATTCTAGGGGACAGAGAGAGTGGTTAAGTGTGCCACACAGGCTAGGTGTGCTACTTCATCCTCAGGACTATTATGGTCCAACAAAATCACAGATCTCCTGCTGCATCTTGTGACTTCTGCATACCCTTGAACAAAATAAGATCCAAGGGTGGGGGACTCATTCTATACCCAAATAAATAAACTACGTCTACTATTTTCTTTTTCTTTTTTTTACCTGAATTTTTTTAATTTTTATTTTTCACTTTTTAATTTTTGAGAGAGAGAGAAGTTTTTTATAATATTGATTTTTTAGTTTTCAGTGGACACATCTTTATTTTATCTTATGTGGCGCTGAGGATCGAACCCAGCGCCCCCGCGCATGCCAGGCGAGCACGTTACTGCTTGAGCCACATCCCCAGCGCTTAACCTTTATTTTATTTATTTACTTTTATGTGGTGCTGAGGATGGCTTGTATTGCCATCTAGAACCTGGCTCACTCAGGGTTTTCCAAAGTGGGCATGTATATTTTGAGCCATATCCCTAGCCCTATCTTGTATTTTTAATTTAAAGACAGGCGCTAACTGAGTTGCTTAGAGCCTTGCTTTTGCCGAGGCTGGCTTTGAACTCATGGTCCTCCTGTCTCAGCCTCCAGAGCTACTGGAATTATTGATGTGCGTTACTGTGCCCGGCTGGACATACGTATTTCTATATATTTATCCCTCCTGTTTGTCTCCCTGGGAAACCCACCTCAACCCACTTCAGCCATGCAAGTGATATGTATTCTTCAAAACCCTGTTCCATTCTAGCTCCTCTAATGAGCTGCTCCTGGTGGCCTTTGACCACCATGATATTCCTACTGGACTCACTCCCAGGGGCACCAGCTTGGCTGCATGTTATAGACTATCTGGTAACAATTTCCTGCACTAGTGACTCATCTGTCATCCATTCCTCATTTCACTGTGGACATGCTGCTCTTGACCTCAAAGGTTTATGCTGTCATAGAGACATGATTTTCATTCAGGGGCCTGAAAGTGAACTCAGGTTTGTACTCTTACCTGTTGCTGGGGGAAGAGTAGTAACTTGATACAATTTTTGAGGAGAAAAGGTAACAATATATATTAAGATATAAAACGATACATATTATCTTAAAATAATCTGTACCCGTGGACCCCAAATTTCTACTTCTATTTTTATTTTATTCTCCCAAAGAAAATAACCAGAAATATGGATAATGACTTCTATAGAAATACTTATCAGGATATGGAAAAACACTGGGAGTGTTTTCTACCAAAAGTGGGAAAAAAATTTGAAGTAAACCTAAATATCTAACACCGTGATAACAAATATCACAATATCGTATTTTGTGATCATATAACCAACATGTTATGGTAGCATTACAGTACGATTACAAAGAGAGTTTTTTGGCAAATTAATGACATGAGAAAATGCTTGCTATAATGTTAGGTGAAAAAAGGATTTAAAACTATATTCACTATGGTTTTACTTTGGTAAAAATAATGCATATTTGGGAAGAAAGGCTAAAAGAAACTTGGTAGAATGTTTTATTTACTTATCAGTCATTTCTAAGATTACTGGTGACTTAAGAACTTTTTTTCTTTATGGTTTATTATGCTTCACGAATTTAGTCACAGAAAACATGCATGATTGTTATTATCAGAAAAAAAATTATTTAAAAATTCAGCTTTTACCATTCCACATAAAATGGGTTCTCTTTTCAATTGTCAGCAGCAGGCACTTAGGGAGCTAGCACTAACCCTAATTCATTCATTCATTCACTCATTCAGTCGATATTTCAGAGCTCCAATTGGGTCTCAGGCACTGGGCTGGGTCTCAGGAGTCCAAATTTGAATGAAATATATATATATATATATAATTTCTTTTAATTTTTCTTTTTTTTATATCTCTAGCCTTTTTTATTTTTTATTTTGAGACAGGGTTTCACTAAGTTGCTTAGGGTCTTGCTAAATTGCTGAAGCTGGCTTTGAACTTGTGATCCTCCTGCCTCAGCCTCTGGCCGAATGAAATATAGTCTTTACCTTCATGTAGCTGTTTATTGTCTAAAGGGAAAAATGTATATATATTTTTATTCCTATATCTGTACCTATATTTGTATTTGTACTTCTGACTATGTCTATACCTATACCTGTATCTACTCCTGTATCTGTACCTATACCTGTATCTGTACTATATCTACACTTGTATTTGCATCTGTATCTGTACCTAACCTATGCCTGAATCAGTACTTATACCTGTACCTGCACATGTATCAGTACTTATACCTGTACTTGTACCAGTATCTATACTTATACCTGTTTCTACACCTGTATCTGTATCTGTACCTGTATTTGTACCTATATGCATATCTGTACCTACAATTGTATCTGTACCTATACCTGTATCTGTACTTGCACCAGTATTTGTACTTATACCTGTATCTATATATCTGTACCTATACCTGTATCTTTACTTATACCTATATTTACACCTGTATCTGTACCTATACCTGTATCTGTACCTACAAATGTTTATGTACCCATACCTGTATCTGTACTTGCACCAGTATCTGTACCTGCACCTGTATCTATGTCTGTATCTGTACTTATACGTGTATCTATGCCTGTATCTGTACCTCCATCTGTATCTGTATTTATACCTGAACCTATGCCTATATCTGTACCTGCACCTGTATCTATGCCTGTATCTGTACTTATACCTGTATCTACGCCTGTATCTGTACCTGCACCTGTATCTGTACTCATACCTGTATTTATACCTGTATCTGAACCTATACCTGTACCTGTACCTATGCCTATATCTGTACTTATACCTGTATCTATGCCTATATCTGCACCTATACCTGTATCTGTACCTACACTTGTATCTGTACCTGCACCTGTATCTATACTTATACCAGTATCTATGCCTGTATCTGTACTTTTACCTATATCTACACCTGGACCTGTTCCTATGCCTGTATCTGTACTTATACATGTATCTATGCCTATATCTGCACCTATATCTGTATCTGTACCTGTACTTATACCAGTATCTACACCTGTATCTGTACTTATACCTATATCTGCACCTGTACTTATACATATTTCTATACCTGTATCTGTACCTACACCTGTATCTGTACCTTCACCTGTATCTGTACTTATACCTGTATCTATGCCTGTATCTGTAACTGCACCTGTATCTGTAAGTACACCTGTATTTGTATCTGCACCTGTACTTATACCTATTTTTACACCTGTATCTGTACCTATGCCTGTATCTATGCCTACACCTGTATCTGTACCTTCACCTGTATCTGCGCCTGTATCTGTAAGTACACCTGTATCTGTACCTGTACTTATACCTATTTCTACACCTGTATCTGTACCTGCACCTGTATCTGTACCTACACTTGTATCTGTGCCTTCACCTGTATCTGTATTTATACCTGTATCTATGCCTGTATCTGTACCTGCACTTTTATCTGCACCTGTATCTGTATCTATACTTGTATCTGTACCTACAATTGTATCTGTACCCATACCTGTATCTGTACTTGCACCAGTATCTGTACTTATACCTGTATCTATGCCTGTATCTGTACTTATACCTATATCTACACCTGTATCTGTACCTGCACCTATATCTGTACTCATACCTGTATCTATACCTGTATCTGTACCTGCACCTGTATCTGTACTCATACCTGTACTTATACCTGTATCTATGCCTGTATCTGTACCTATACCTGTATCTGTACCTGGACCTGTATCTATGCCTGTGTCTATACTTATACCTGTAACTATGCCTATATCTGTACCTATACCTGTATCTGTACCTACACTTGTATCTGTACTTATACCAGTATCTATGCCTGTATATGTACCTATACCTGTATCTGTACTTATACCTATTTCTACACCTGTAACTGTACCTACACCTGTATCTGTACCTGCACCTGTATCTGTACCTACACTTGTATCTGTACCTTCACCTGTATCTGTATTTATACCTGTATTTATGCCTGTATCTGTTTCTGCACCTTTATCTGCACCTGCACCTGTATCTGTATCTGATGTATGTGACACCATCTTCCACAGTAAGGATAAAGGTAAATAAAGACACTCAAGGCTCTGAGTGAGAGGAGAGATCAGGAAAGGTATCACACAGCAGACGACAGGTTCTGTTTCTTTGAAAGGCCACGTAAAGTTGCGCAGTGATCCCCAGGTCTGGCTCTCCCCAGCCTCGGCAGGTCCCCACACCCTGGGGGCAGTATGCACACCTCTGTTTTCTTTGGCCAGGTTGTCCGCCATCTCCCAGTAGTCGTAGCTGTGCAGGATGCTGTTGGTGATGCTGACATGATTGGCCGCCATCTGATGGATGCGCTGCGGGATGCTGACGATGGTTGATGGGGACAGGGCGTTGGTACTGGAGAGGCTGCCCTGAGACCCCACGGAGCTGGTGGGAGAGGGGTTGGGAGACATGGGGGATGGGGTTCCAGTGCTCCTGGAATGGGAGAGGTAGAAAAACCAGAGTGGAGAGGTCGGGAGCAGGCGAGGTGGGGCAGCCCATCAGGGCACAGAAAGCACCATGCACTCACTGCCTGGCTTACTGCATTTGGGAAAAGTGAACTTACTTTCCACTGGCCCCCCACGGAGATGGGGCTTGGGCAGCTTTGGATGAATTCTGCAGGAAAACAGAGACAAGGACAGTGAGTTCCACCTGCTTAAGGGTAAATAGCAGACCATAACACGTTCTCAGGTGACGGTGGGGAGAAATCACAGAAGGCACCACAGAAAAGATGCAGATTCTTAGAAACTGGGTCTGGGAAATAAGGCTGCTGGCTCCCTGTCTGGAGCTGGGGAGGGGCCGCTGCCTGGACTGTGGGGCTCCAAAGTGGGGTAACTGAAGGGCTCACCCCTAGGCTTCTATGTACAAACTTTAGGTATCAAATTAAATGACAGTCCTGGGGGTCTTTGGGTCTGAACAGTTCTAATTGTTCTCATCATAAATTACTCTAATTTTTCTGAAAAGGAAATAAACAGAGTAGGAAAGCTCCCCAACCCCTCCTGAGCATACCCTATATTTAAATTTAGGGGTTATTTGCAAGAACTGTTGTTATGCACTTAATGCCTGAAAGTAGATGTCATCAAATTCTTGCATCATAGCTTATAAAGTTTAAAAGCATTTCTCTTAAAGGAATCTAATCTTAAATATTCCAAAAAGAACAGATGAAAATATAGTTTCTTAACAGGTAAGACATTCAAAAGCTCTGAATGATTTGGATATTCTGATTTAAGATGTTACTGCTGCAGGAACCAAGTGTTTGCATCAGACATTTAAAAAGGGAGGAATAGGAAATGAATCTGACCAAATTTTCCTATATCCACATTTGAATGTACCATATTGAATTTCACCTTTATATATATCCATAAAGCACTAATTTTTAATACCTTTATTTTATTTATTTAAATTTATGTGGTCCTGAGGATTGAACCCAGTTCCTCACATGTGTCAGGTGAGACCTTTACCACTGAGCCACAACCCCAGCCCCATAAGGCACTAATTTAAAAAAAGTATAAATAGAAGAAAGTATATATAGGAAAGGGAATGGTGGGGGTGGGTGGGGAGGGAAAGAAGTAGTACTGAGGACTAAACTGAAACAAATTATATTGAATGCTTGTATAATTATGTCAAAGTCACCCCTAATAATATATATAACTATAATGCACTAATAGAATTTTTTTTTTCTAGGTGGGGTGCAGCTCCGTGGTAGAGTGCTTGCCCACGTATGTGAGGCCCTGGGTTTGATTCCCAGTATTGCAAAAAACCAAAAACCAAACAAACAAACCAAAACAGAAAAATTTCCCCTTTGGCAAAGAAAGTTGCTAAATGCACAGTTTTTTTTCCTTTGAGGGCCCAAGAATGTTTTCCTGGAGAGAAATCTACTAAAGGCGGAGAAATCTCATCTTTGTGATGCTCTTGTGAATTTTCCTTTTCAGAGACAAGAAAACATCCTCAGCCTGGTTCCTCCCAGATGATGCATCTCTTTGGGTCGGAAGGCACTTTACCAGGTGGTGGCTGGTTTCTTTAGTGTCAGCGTGGAGTTATCAAAACGGCCGGAAATGGCCCGCCAGGACTCAGGCTCCACAGCAAGGTACAAATACAGGACAGAATTGCAAACCAGTCACTTTTATCTGTCGCAGGAAATGACTCCATTTTCATGGAGAGAACTAGAGAAGGGACTGCCTTCTTTGGAGGGAGCATCTCCCCTTCCTGCTGTGATGTGACTGGCACCTTCCTCGGTGGGGTGCTTGGGGCCCCAAGAAGGTGTTTCACTTCACCACATGGTTCTGGGTGTTCTGGATATAAGAACACCAAGGGGAAAGAGGGAGGGAGGCCTGGGGATGGGAGAAACCACCTAGAAGGGGGTGTCCAATGGGAAGAATGGCTGAACCCATTCAGCCACGAAGCGCCATGGCAAAAACATGGGCAGGAACAAAGTCCCCCTTCAGAGACAGTTCTGGATGAATAAAACACATTCTCTATAGCTGAACTGTCACTGTCACCTGAAGGTTTTGAAACTTTGTACTTAACAAAGGGTAGGGAAGGATGCGAAGTTTCAGTGAGGAGGGTCATATTCTGGAGATGTACTGTGATTAAAATTAAAGATAACGTCTAGTACACTTGAAAATCACTCAGAGTAGATTTTGGAAGCTCCCATCACAAAAATGACAGGTATATGAAGTGATGGATGTGTTAATTAGCTTGATTTTATCATTCTGCAATGTATGCATGTATCAAAAATCACACACATCAGAAATACATAGGATCAATCCTTGGCCGATTAAAAATACATTCAAATATTTTTAATATATTCTTCTTTTTTTTGGTACCAGGGATGGATCCTAGGGTGCTTAACCACTGAGCTACATCCCCAGCCCTTTCTTTATTTTTTCTCTTGAGACAGGGTCTCACTAAGTTGCTCAGGGCCTCGCTAAGTTGCTGAGGCTGGCTTTGAACTTGCGATCCTCCTGCCTCAGCCTCCTGAGCTGCTGGGATTACAGGTGTGTGCCACCGCACCTGGCTAATTTATTCATTTTTAATATGAATAATATTTAATATTTTTAATATATTAAATAATGTTGATCAGATGAAGGATAAATGCCAATAACTCCTGAAGGAGAAGTCTGAAGCTCAGGTTCCTTTCTCTACCTGTTCTCTATGTACCCCTGGACTGCATGTGTAAATTAAGAACTTCTTTATTTCTGTTGTCCCTTAAAAGTTCTGGTTGTAACCCTCTTGGGCTTCCAGAATTCAGCTTCCCTTTTTCTTTCTTTTTTTTAAAAAATATTTTCTTTTTTACTTGTTGACAGACCTTTATTTTATTTATTTACACCCGGTGCTGAGAATCGGACCCAGTGCCTCACACACGCCAGGCAAGGGCTCTACCGCAGAGCCCCAGCCCCAGCCCCAACTTCCTTATTTCTTCAAGCATTGTTTTTCTTGATTGAAACAACTCTCTTTGGTATTAGCTCTTAGATTCTGAATTTCTGAAAACTACTCATTTTGTAGAGGGAAGGCTCTGTGCCAGTTCTCATCATTATAACCCACCAAAGGGCCAGGAAAGTTATCTCCTTGGCTCTGAACTTGGTTATTCTAATTGCACACTCAGGAAGGAGGCACCATGCTAAAAATATCCCAAGGGACCCCGAATCACCTGGTCAGACAAGCTCTGAGAAGTGGAAGTTGGGAATAAATGATTTTTAGGGAAGGTTGTTATTTTTTGCCATCTAAAAAAATTCTCCCAGTGAAAATAATTTCATTCCCCGAGGTAAGTGAAAGTTGCCATGGTTGAGAATTCAATCCTTACAGTTACACATTGCTATCTAGTGTCTCTGAGTTTCTAATCATCCATCTCTTACCCTTTTAAATAGCACCTCCATTAAAAGTTAAGTTAGCCACTAGAGAATAACGAAGGGGTAATGGCTTGGAAGTAGTTACTTCTAAGAGAAGAAATCTTCTAAGAGAAGAAATCTTCTCTTGGATGTGAGGAATTTATGTCTGCTCTATAGATCTATTTCCTAGGACCCTGGAAGGAATAACTGGATATTCTTTTTCTTGAGGCCACAAAAATACTTGGGCAAGAAGGCAGGGGGTAAATTAGCTAGGCTCTCAAGGCCCATTCTCTGAGCTTTCAGGCACAAGTGTGTCATAAATGCAATTTCTGGAGATAGAGGTGACCTGTACTAGCCCCAGAGCAGTGGGTACTGCCAGGGTTTTCTGAAGTGCCCCTGACAGGGAGGCACCTGAACACAAGCAGGCAGCCGCTCATCTGTCAGACAGTACCTTGAAATAGTCGATGAGTGCTTTTGAATACTTGACAGCGTGGTCCCTTTTAAGCCGAAACATCCGCCAGTACAGGAGAGCCAGGCATCGATAGCTGCAGCGGAAGGAGAGGAGTGAGCCCTTCAGAACAGGAGTGTGTCCTTCAGAAACAAGCCTTTACCAAAGTCATGCCATTCCAAGTGACTTGGTATTTACACCATGCTTATGTATCTAAGATGTTTCTGTATGTACGTACATGACCTGACCTTCTTTTTGTCCCCAGAATACAATTCAAAATTCCAACGTGGTACTCCATAAATATATTCACCTTTAGCTTATTTTGGACTATGAGATTTATCACTTTGTGGGAACAGGGCCTGGTGCTTCCTTCTTCTACCACGAGAGGGCAGTCTCTCTCCATGAGCCGTGTGAGGAAGCTCTAGCCACAGCTTTCACTGCTTCCTGGGTGAGCTACCCTGGCTTTGAGAATAGGTCAGTTTTTCTACCTGTTTTTAGTACCATTGCTTTCTAATACTTTATTACACGATATTTAGCTTAAATAGATAATATAAATAATGAGTGTGAATCACGAACAACAAAAAACACTTTGTTGAGAGTTTACAGCATTTGATATTGTCTCCAATATTTGAATTATTATTTACATATAAGTATTATATCTAATATGATAATGTTATTAATTATCATCAATTTATTTATCCCAATATGGAACTTCAGTAAAGAAAAGGGCACAGGTAGTGTTTCCTGGACTTATCCTTTCTTGCTTGCTTTTTGCTAGTAATCATTTGCTAACTCAGATCTGATGCTGACGTGCTAGAATCGCAAGAGCCTGAATAGTCTCTTAACAGCCCAAACTCCAGACGATATGATGAAGTGAAACAACCTGAGACCCTCTCTTTTGTCTATGTTGCTGTCCTGGTTTTTGAGATTCCATCTGAGTCTCTAATGTGTAGATTAGATTCTAGAGTGGAATGAGCTTTTGAAGAAGAAAAAAATTTGGATCCTTTGACAGGAAGAACCAACAGAGAGGTGTTCTGAGATCTGGGGAGTGGGGTGAGGTGTCCTGAGGAGATGTCATGGAGAAAGCTATTATAATCACATAATAGTTATCGTTGTAATCATTATCAGTACAGAAAAAATCTTTTATATATTGGCTAACATTTTGAAAGACGTGATTTTATTATCAAAGTATAATGAGCCGCTCTTCAGTTTAATGCGTTGAGAGCTTTAAGCACCGTCTTTATTCATTCAGACTGATCTGCCACTAAAGCAACACATGAATTATTTTGATTGCATCTAAAGCATCAAACACAAGAGAAACTCTTTTCGACACATGTACATTCAAATGACTAAAGCAGGGACCTACCTGATTTTAAAACACATGCACACACAGAGAAAAAAAAAATTACCCTTGTGTAATTGACCTGTCGATTTTCAATGACTGAATTCTGTTCATGCATGGCACAGCAAAAAGAAATGGTCTGGATTCTCCCTGGCGGTTAGAACAGCATGGGGCTTTGTATGTTCAAAGGTGCCAGGAAAAAACCATGCATTTTAGCACATGATTTGCCAATGAGGACCTGGGGGGCTGAGGACACTCTTTTAGGTTGCAATGAGGCACTCACCATAATGCAGCTAGTTGTTTGTCCTCTGGTGTGGCATTGGGGCCCGAGTGGGTTTTTAGTCTCATAGCATATCTAAAATCAAAAACAAAAATAAAAGCAAAAGGGGGTGGGGAGAGGGAAAGCAAAGGAATAAAACAAAAAGAACTCTCTTAGTAATAACAGAACTTCTATGCTGTTAGTTCTGTCCACCCAGTACTTTTAGATTTTCCCAGTGCCGCTCATAATTCTTTCTTAAAAGCCTTCTGACATTGCTCTTCTTCCCCCAAGCATCACATCACTGTGATATAATGAACAAAATCTTTCTTATGATGCCTCACTACTCTTGCTTTTAGCAACACAAGTTCAAATGCTGCAGATGGGCAGGAGGGGTAGCAGTTCAAGAACTAGTCAAGCATATGGTAACACGCCCGTTAATCCAAGTGTTGACGTATGGCTGAGTGGTGACACTTGGAGGTGAGGTTCAATGCTTCTGGGCTCACCTCCAGGAGAATTTGCACCCCTGGTGCTCAGGTGGGTGCTCCATTGACCCCTTCGTCTTTGTTATGTGACTCTTACCTTGATGGCAGTGTAAATGATCTGGGTACATTTTTAATCTCCATTGGCTTCTATTTATGTGCATTATGAGAAACAATTCCATTCACTTCTCTGAACTAGGGGGACTGTGGCCTTTGCTTTCTCCCAGTAACATATCAGGTCACCTATGCAGACTCTCTGAGAGAACTGAGGTAATATGTGCAATGGTCAGAGAGTCCCAGGTTCAAATCCCAGCTCAGTTACTTAGTTGTGAGAGCCTAAGTGTATTAATGTCCCTAAGCCTTCACTTCCTTACCTAAAACAGAACTAGTGCCGTGATCACACAGCCTTGTGTGGGGATTAACCCAGATCATTCTAGGAAGCTCTTGGCATAGCAGGCTGCCTTGCTGGGTTAATAAGCAGTCTGTTATCATGGCCTCATCTCCTCAATGTGCAGATCTGTCGGTTTCTGAGTGTGTCTCTGTGCAGAGCATTTGCAGTGGTTGTTCTTGGGTGTGACAATACACTTACACATGCTTCTCAGAATTCATCAGTATCAACATTTTACCACCTTGAGTGGAGTGTGGAAGTTGTTATCTTCTTTACTTCTAAATAATTACCCTGAGAATCAGATGGTGGTATAATTTTTGTTTCAAGATTTATGAAAGGAGGCCAGTTGGTTGCATGTGTCTGTATTTCTGTTCTCTTCTCCTTCCTGATGTGTGCAGATTCCTTCCTCTGCTGAGGAAGGTCCTGCAGTCAATTGCTAAGGGGGTCTGTCAGAGACAAACACTGTTGTTTTCCTGAGTCTGATAATATCTTTATTTCCCTCCGCTCCCGAAGAATATTCCACTGAATCTAGAATCCACAGATTGATATTTCGTCCTTTCTTTCCACACTTGAAAAAATGTCACATCACCTCCTCTGGCCTCCCCGATTTCAGATGAGAAGTGGGCGGTCAGTTGAGCGGGTGTCCCCCCACCCAGCTGATGTGCTGTTTCTCCCTGATGGTTTCACGATTTCCTTGTCTTTAGTTTTCAGGGACAGAATCACGATGTGTCCTGGCCTGCATTCTGTCAGGCTTATCCTATTTGGGTTTTCCTTGGCTGTCAGGATCTGTAGGTTGATGTCTTTTGACAAACGTGGCAACGCTCAGTCATCACCTCTTCAAACACTATCTCAGTCCTACTCTCTTTTCCTCTCCTTCTGGGACCCCAGTGATACAAACGTTGGATCTCCTGTTACTGTGCTTACTTGGTTTGAATATGCCCACAGAAGTCACATGTTGGAAATTACCCAAGTTAGCAGTATTCAGTGGTGGGACCTCAGGAGGCAGAACCCTCACTAATGGATTCATCTTGGGTGAGTTAGTTATTGAGGGAGTGGATCCTGATAAAAAGGAGGAATTCAGGCCACCTTCCTGTTTTACCTGTGCTCCCTTGCCCTTCCACCGTGGGGTAATGCAGCACAGAGACCCTCACTGGATGCCACACAATGATCCTGGACTTCTCAGCCTCTAGAGCCATGAACCAAACAAACTTCTATTGTTTATCATTTTTCCAGTCTGTGGTATTTTGCTAGCGCAGCAGAAATTAGACTAACATAGTGCTTGAGGCCCTCTTCACTTTTTAAAAAATTTTTTCCAGTCTATTCATTCGTCTCTTGCTCAGATTGGGTAAATTGTACTTTCTGTCCTCAAGTTCACTGATTGTATTCTTTATCTCTCCCTTGTGATTGAGCCCACCCAGTGATTTTTTTTCTATTATTATTTTTTTCAGTTCTATAATTTCTATTTGATTCTTTTAAAATAAAATTTCGACAAGATTTTCTGCTTTCTGTTTGTGGCAAGAGAAACGTAATTGTTTACTGGAGAATTTTTAAGATGGCTGCTTGGGAATTCTCGCCAGTTAATTCCAACATCTGATTCATTGTGACATGGATGTCAATTGATCTGTTTTCATTTCAGTTATGATTTTCCTGGTTCTTGGTATGGCGGGTGAGTTTCTGCTGTATCCTGGACATTTGGCTATTATGTTAGGAGATTCTGGATCCTATTTAAATCTCTTGTTTTAGAAGTTATCCTGTTGAGGTTTAGCAGGCAAGCTTTGGGCTACTTTGGGGGCTGTGATCCAATTATAATTTAGTTTCCAGAGCTTTGCTGGTACTATATTGGTATGCCCTAGGGCCCCAGCTGGTCCCTGGTGGCGCTCCTGAGGTGAGGTGGCTGGTGGGAGGGATGGTTCCCCAGGCTGGACTCTCTTGGAGGCAGCCCTTCATGGATCATTGCCTGCTTCCCACAGTCCCCTGGTGAAGGAAGGGATTCTCCCATTTGTGGTAAGCTACCTCCTGCCAGAGCTCCTGCCCCCCCAGTGGCTCTCAGTGGGGAAGAAGAAAGTCAGTTTTGGTGGACAAGGTGCAGATTTAAGTGGCAAATGGATTTTCAGCATTATTTAAAAAAAATTCACAAATGTATGGTTTTCTTTTTTTCCCATTTTTTTTAAATTGGTGCATTATAATTATACATAATTGTGGGATTTGTTATGTATTTGTACATACATGTTATCACGATCTAATCTGGTCAACATTATTCTATTTTCTTTCTCTTTCTGACGGTTTTTACATCTTTGTGGGGCACAGTTTGACAGTATGATACATGGGTACATTGGACATTGATCACATGTGGGTATGAGCATATCACCACCTCATGCATTTATTATTTCTCTAAAGTGAGAGCATTCAAAAACCGCTGCTTTAGCTGTTTTGAAATACGTAATACCTTAGTGTTAACTAGAGTCATCTACTGTAATTAAGACTCTTTCCTAACCTAGGCGAGAACAGGGCTCATCGAGACTCAGCTTCCTCCCAGCCAGGGGTTCCAGTGGCTGAAGGTGCGGTGGACAGACAGATGCTCTTGGCTGCCTATCTAGTCCTCCCTCAGGCTCCTCCCTACCCCGGCAGGAAATCATGGCTCACCTGATGAGCTCCACCGTCTCTGAGTACATGGTGTAAGGAGACTTGGATTCCATCGGGCCTTGTTCCATGGCGTTTCCACACTCGATAAACGACAGGGCTGCTTCAGCATAGTTCAGGGCCTTTCCAAACTTCTCCACCTGATCAACAGAATGCACAGCGTCTCCCTTAACGAGAGCCTGACACTCACTGTTGCCCCACAGTGTACACGCTTTACTTGAGAAACTTTAACTTGTGAGTTTCAGAATTCTGTGAATGGAGCCGAGGGAAGAAAGACCTAGGAGACGGTAGGCCCCTCGTGAAGTCACGATTTTGTTTTCCATGGTTTCAGTTTTTCATGGTCAACCACAGCCCAAAAATATTAAATGGAAAATTCTAGAAGTGGATATTTTATAAGCTTAAATTTTTTTTTATCATAGCCTATTATTCTATTTTATTATTAGCTAATCGCTGTGCCTAATTTAGAAATTAAACTTTATCATAGGGTGTATATAGGAAAAACAAGTACATATAAAGGTTGGTATTATCTGTGGTTTCAGATAAGGGAAGACTGCTGTACTACTTGTTTTCTCGAATTGCCACTAGGTTGGGGAAATGAGCATGTGGTCACATATAGCATGGCAAAGGCTTGGGACAGCTGCCAATCAACAAGGCTCAGGACTTCATGGCAGCTGTGGTCTCTGTCTCTTTCTAAAGGGTTGGCAACTTCATTCCTATTCCTCCATGAATATGCAGCATCTACTGAGCTACATCCCTATTCCTTTTTATTTTTTATTTTGAGACAGTGTCTCACTAAATTGCTGAGGTCTTTGCTAATTTGCTGAGGCTAGCCTCAGACTTGTGATCTTCCTGTCTCAGCCTCCTGAGTTGCTGGGTTTATAGGCATGCGCCATCATGCCTAGCTTTGAACCACACTTTCTTTTGCACACTGCAACTTGGACAGTTCAAAGCATTGGTTATTATCTTTTATATTATTTATGACAGTTACATCTCTTCCTCTTCTCAAGTGTTTTTCATTAATGGTGAGGACTTCATGTAAGGGCAAGATGAAGGGAAAAGAGAAGAGATAAAACTCAAGGCGCCATTTCAGCTTCACCAAAATGGGACATGAATTGAATATTGACACTAAATAAAATTTTTTGGATTACCTGAAGTCATGTATGTTAATCTTTCCCCATGTCCACAAGGATAGCCACAAATCAGCTTTATATTATTAAATTCTCATATATTAAACTTACACATTGAGTTCCTGGTTCCATATATTGCTACTCTCTGAAGATAATTACATATTGTCTGGATCACAACATCTCCCCAATATTCAAAGAATGACACATACATATTATTCTAAGTCTTGCTACAAAAATGAAACAAAAACTCCCTAGAATCAATACTTTGGAAAACAGAACTGTATTGCAAAACTGCTTCTCATTAGCAAATCAAAATTTTAAACAGCTTAAAAAACCAAACAGGCAACATTTTTTTTGGCAATGCCTTCAGAGTAAGTAAATAATTTCATTCAGTAAGCATGGTCTACAGCGTTCAGCTCTGGGGGATGTGTACCTGATACACAAAGCTGCTTCCAGGAACCCACAGTACATCTGGACAGAGAAAACATGCACCTACAAACCAGTTCCATATGCAAAGCAGTTCATGATTAACTGACAAAATGCAGAAGGAGGAGTCCCCTACCACTGAGATGGATGGAAGCGGGTGAGTGATGGGGCTATGGAGAGGCTGAGGATGCTTCAAGGAGGAGACCTAAAAACAGGCCTGGGAAGGAATGGTGTGATTTGCCTGGACACGGGAGATGCTGAGGGTGCCTGAGAGCTTGTACGTGTGTGTGAGCATGAAGCTCTGCAGGGGCACATGCCCATTGGCTGGCAAGAACAGGTGGGCTCAGAGGCTGCAGGGGACAAGCCTGGCTGGGGCAGTATTACTTGGAAAATAGTCAATAGAAAAGGTAGGGTGGGGCAAGATGACACTGATGAGCAAGGCCAGCGAACCCCGGAGGATGGATACAGGCAGAAAATCTCATTCTGTGTTATGGTTTGGATGTGAGGTGTCCCCCAAAAGCTCACGTGTGAGACAATGCAAGAAAGTTCAGAGGATGGAACTGCAGACTCTCATGCTAAGCAAAATAAGTCAATCCCCCAAAACCAAAGGCTGAATGTTTTCTCTGATATGCAGATGCTGACTCACAATAAGGTGGGGGCTAGGGAAGAGTAGAGGGACTTTGGATGAGACAGAAGGGAGTGAAGGGAGGGGAGGGGGCATGGGGGTAGGAATGAGAGTAGAATGAATAGGACATTATTACCCCATGTGCATAGATGATTACCTACATCATGCACAACCAGACAAATGGTTGTCAAAAGGCATTCTACTGTCTATAACTAATTAGAATAAAAAAAAAGATTATGGCTAATAAGCCTGATAAAAACTATTCCACAGTATGGCTGTTGAGGTTTCTTACTAGGCAACCTTTAAAAAAAAGTTTGGAATATATGTTTCCTAGCTTTAATTAAACTGAGACTAAATTATTAAAAAAAAAAAAAGATTTCATTATGAGAGCCTTAACCCCATCAGTAACTCAGTCCCCCTGATGGGATTAACTGAGTAGTAATCCCAGGTGGGTCTGGAGGAGGCAGGTCCCTTGGGGGCATGACTTTGGGGTATATGTTGTATCTGGTGAATGGAGTCTCTCCCTGCTTCCTGATCATCACGTGAGCAGCTTCCCTCGGCCACACTCTTCCGCCATGTTGTTCTGCCTCATCTGGAGCCCCAAGGAAAGGAACCAGCTGTCTATGCACTGAGACCTCTGAAACTGTGAGCCCCCAAATAAACTTTTCCTCCTTAAAATGTTTTTGTCAGGTCTTTTAGTCATAGCAGCGAAAAAGCTGACTAAAACATTTTGCTTAAAAGTTTGATGTGTCTCCCAATAGGGGCCATGCCATCAGTTTATTTGGAAGACCAGAACTCTCCATTAGATTGTGGAACTCTGTGGGGAAGAACTGTCTTTCCATTTCTCTATTTTTCAACACTCAATGGACATTTTCTCTGTTCACCAGTGTACCTCGGCAGTGGACCTTGTACAAATAAATGTTTGGTGGGTGACCTTGATACCCTGGGAGAGGGGGACTTTTTAAAGTTCAAATACCTTCAACACTGGAATAATACTTTGAAAAATCATTTAAAATGCCTTTTTCATCTTTAATACCCTGGTTGATGTCAGTTATGAACACTGGAGGGGAATAAAACTGGAATTACTAGGTAGGAAGGGGTCCTTTTGGATGAGCATTTAAGATGGAACAACCCTATGATCTCTTAAAAAAAAAAAAAAAAGAAAGAAAAACAAAACCGAAAGTTTTCTATTTCTTGCCTGGAAGCTTCTAGCTTTCCAAAATAGGAGATTATTCAAGCAAGAAAAGTTATTCTTTGAAAACATCAAATCATGATGGTTTTAGGGTTTTATGTGCACATAATAGTTTCTGCATTGTATAGTTCAGGGGAAGCATTCATTGTAGCAGATGCACATGAAGAACATGAGTCTTTTTGAAAAGAAATTTGATCCTGGGACCAAGCCAAGCGTTGGCCAAGCTAACAAGAGAGGAAAATGCAAATCTGGATTTTTTTTTTAAAGGAAAAAAATACTACCACCCACTGACTCTATTGGCTCTAGTTACTATTCAAACCTTAGGGTTAAATTGAAATACTCATTTATCCAGGGCTTTCTCCCAGTCAGACATTATTGGTTGAAGTCATAATTTATTGGGCTATGAGCACTTGATTATATAAACATTTCTCCATTTAACAGGCCCAGCCATCCCTGTAATAGATTTTATAATTACCCAGCTATATTGCCCCAGTGATGAAGCTGCAGTACAAACGTAATTTGGAGGACTGTATCTGGAAAGAAAGGGGTCTCACCATTGCATCTGCTTTATGTTTCATCCGTTTAGCTTCTTGCATAAAATAATCTGCGCTGCGAGGCCTACGAGGAGGAGAGAGTGATATAAGACGTCATTATTGCTTAAGTGCAAGATCTTTTGAAAATATTCTTTTCTTTTGCTCAAACATAAAGCACAATTTAAAAACTCTGCTTAATATGGAATCAAGTCCTTTTTTTTTTTTAACACTTCCAAATTACTGCCTGTATGTAAAACACTGTGATTATTTTTCTCTTAAGTTAGCAATTCAGAGCCTACTCAATATGTGCAGAGAGTCGACATTTACAGTGGTTTTAGCATGGTCCCCCAGTGCCTAATTTGTGATTCAGATTTTTTATTGTATGGTTAAGAAAAAAGTGAAAAATCTTATTTCATGTAATAGTTACACAGAACAATCCCTTTTTACTTAAAGGTTGTAAATATACCTCATAATAATTGCATGGATTCGTATGGGTGAGAATATTTATGTATCCTTATGGATATAAGGATCATTTATATGCATAAGTGCTACCTAGAGTTGTATGTGTATATATTTAATTATTTTCAAGCCTGGCAGTGAAAAATGAAAAAAAAAATGTAATGCTATATGATTGTGTTCCAGTTGTAATGAAGTTAATTGTAAAATGATGTCTACCTTGTAATAATGCAAACATGGCATGAATTCTCTGGAGCCCTGATTAGCTAGCTGGTAAACATTAACAGCAGAATGTGCATTATTAAAGCAATAATCCTGGTCAGCACTGATTCTTCCGGGAGACAAAGGTAATTCATCCTGAGACCGATTGGAGCATGTGTAATGATCCCCGGTTACACTAAAGCACTTGTCAGGCAGTACCTTTAAAGGCTTATCTGACAGATTTTTTTAAAAAAATAAAATTTATATGCTTTAGTCTCCATCATTATAAACTTTATTTGTAATATAGGTCTTTATGTAATCAATAAACCTGACCTATTCATGAATATGCAATCTAAGCCAGGAGTCCCTGAAAGGGGGTATGATGTAAGAAGGGAGATTAATCCTGGACTGTTGAACCTATTGTGATATGCTTATTTTGAATGATCTTGTTTCAGGTTCTGATGGGTCTTCTGCCTGTGATATCAGGTAACCAGAGCATCCCTTTATTCAAAGAGGTCAAAACCCTTAGAAACATAATATATACCATGACAATGAACACTGATTGGTTTAAACACTGCACTCACAGACAAGTCAGAATCACAGCAAATAATGCTTTGGGTAAAAAAAAAAAAAAAAAAAAAATCACAGAAGCAAGAAAAGGACCTGGTTTTCTATCTTCTGTTTCTCTATAAAATATCAGCATTGTGGTAACAAGCTGGGACTGTCTTGTTAGCATGTCACAAACAAGAAGTGGCAACATTGTTGTAGGATTTCCTTAATCCTGCCCTTGGCTCATGGCTCCTTCACCACTCTTGTCCCCCTGCAGGTCTGACAGTTGCCCTTCATTTGGGTGGGTCTCCCATTGGTGGGTGAGGCCAGAGGCTCTGCCTTCTCTATTACATCGACACCCACATGCTTCTTCTGTTCTAATGGCTTTTGAGTTGCATTAACAGGATGGTTTTTTTCCTTCTTAGGTCACGTGTTGACCCTTGTTCACATATGGATTTTTTGGTCTTTGAAAACAACTCTGGCAATTTATGTTTGTTGTTACTGATTGTTTGCTTCTGTTTTTTTTTAAAAAACTTTATTTTTTAGAGCACTTTTGGCAAAATTGAGCAGAGAGTTCTCCTATGCCCTCTGCCCCACAGCCTCCTCCACTATCAGCATCCCAAACTAGGAGCAGCACATTTGCTACAATCCATGAACCTACACTGACAAACATGATCCAGAGATGCTAGTGTAGGGTTCAGCCTTGGTGTTGTAGATCCTATAGGTTTGGACAAATGTTCAATGACGTGCCTCTACCATTACGTTATCACAAAGAACAGTTTCACTGCCCTCGGATCCTCTGTACTTATTTATTTATTGTCCTTTGGTTTTCATCCCTTGACATGGAAGACCCCACCTCTAGCCCAAGTCCAGATCTGATTCCTGAGCTTCATGTGAGGTCCCAAAGCCTATTTGCTCAGGGGGAGAGTTCCAGTATTCTCACCCATTTCCCCTTGTTGCCAAATGCCTTGACTGCTTCCCTGTAAGCACTCCTCTCCTCTCGCAAGACCACATTCTCCACAAGTCCAGGCTTTCCTGGCCTCTCAGGTTGCTGAGACTCTAGATGGACTCGCCTGCAATCTAACTAGAGTTTCACCCCTTGACCAATGTTGTTTGTGATAGTGTTCATTACATTGCCATCCTGCTCACAGACCTTGACTCCATCTCCAGGGCCTCTGAGGTGACATCTCAGTTCAGGGACCTAATATCCTTCCCTTAACCACATCATTTATTTACCAACAGCCTTGGCCAAACTCTGGGCTGGTTTCCCCACTGTCTTAATAACTTGCTCTCCCTGTCTCAGAAGCTTTGCTTATTCTCTGCTTATTAACTGAGTCTTCACCAAGGATCGACCATGAACCAAAAGTTACTGCCCTCAAATTCTACTGCCACCATGGGTCCTTCCGGTCACTGGTCCATGCTTATCTCTGCCTTTCCTGGTCTCATAGAGCACTTCGTGTTTGCACTACATTTCTGGGTATTTAATTGCCTTCTAAGCTGCAGAGGGCTATAGTCATTGCCTATGAACAACTTGGTGGCTGGTACATTTTCAGCAGGGACAGGGCTGTGGACCTCTTCAGTCTTCTCCATCCTGTGATTTTAGGCACACGACAGAAGGTGAACAAGTCCTTCTTCAATGGCATCGACTTTTCTCTGAGCTCAGAAAAGAGTGGTGCCTTGTGATGGGGTGATGAGCCAGAGCATGTCTCCATGGCAACCGGAAATTCTCCACATCATTATCTGCTCCACACTCTAGTATATAAGTTTGGTCATTTTCTTCTTGGCCTGTTTTGTAGACCTTGTCACGAACAGATCGTCATTTCAAATGCATTTTGTTCTCAGGAAAGATTTTCTTGGCAATAAGCTAGGGCATCCTCGTTTTCCTGAGCCTTCTAAGTTGCCTTTATAGATGGCAGCGGCTTATAATCCCTAATACGGGTTCTTTAATCAATGCTGTTCTTTATCTGTGGCACATAAATGCATTTTTTTTTTTAAAAAAAAAACCCGACATGGAGGCTGAGTCACAAACTCTCAATAGCACACAGAGATAAGTAACACATCTAATTTTCTGACTTTATCTGGGCAGTTACAGCAGTAACCTGACTTGCTGAAAGGAAAGATACCATCTGGGGGCCATTTACAAACACATTTGTTAGAATTCTCATTCTGCATCTAATAGCAGGCTTACTATACGGACTCACTGAAGATTGCCTGATGATTGGCCCATTTTTTTCTTCAGGTGATTTCTAGTGCCACGCTCCTAGATCAGATCATTAGAAAGCCATTGGGACCAATAGGACGTCACCCGGATTGTCCAGCACGGCAGTGGATGCATGCCAGCATGAAGGTGTCACTTCCCACAGCAATAGATCATCAATAGGAAAATTAAAATCACTACCACTGTGGTGGCAGTACAGAGTATGACAAAGCACAGGCACTAACCCTAATCATCTAAGTGTTCAGACAGATTTTTCATCCAATCTAATTTTTTTTGTGTGTGTGTGAGGGTGGGTACCAGGGATTGAACTCAGGGACACTCGACCACTGAGCCCCATCCCCAGCCCTATTTTGTATTTTATTTAGAGACAGGGTCTCACTGAGTTGCTTAGAGCCTTGCTTTTGCTGAAGCTGGCTTTGAACTCATGATCCTCCTGCCTCAGCCTCCTGAGTCTCTGAGATTACAGGCGTGCACCACCATGCCTGGCCAATCTTCTAATTTTTTTTTTTTTTTTAATGCGAAAGATCTAGAGTTTTTTTTTTTTTTTTTTAAGAAAATTTATGTAATCAAATTCATCACATTCTTTCTCACAGTGACAGTATTTCATGATGATACATCAACAAATCTAATCAAAGTTCAATTAAGCATCATAAATATAACCATGTATCTTATACTCTGTAGCTCTGGGGCCCGAGTGAAGCCACATCCACATGTATGTTTGCTGTAAGAGCTCTCTGGAACAAAAGTGACCTTAGTACTTGATCCAAAGAGGCTGTTTTCTTCTCTTCTCCTCACCCTCCCTCCACCCCCACCTATAAACACATGGCCTTGGATCTGAGCAGCAACAGGATGTGAGCACCCCTGATATTTCTTCTGACACAGGAGTATTAAAGCAACCTTGCTTTTTTGTTCTGCTTTCTGGCTGAGAGCGAGCGAGCTGAATGGTCTCCCACGGAGAGGCTGGCACACACAGCTCAGTAATTCCTACCTCTGTGAAAGGCCGTGCTCAGCAGAGCCAGCCGGCTCTGTGCACACTGGCAGGGACGAGAGCTCAATGTGTTTGAACTCACAGGTTTCTCTGAGTGGCAGAAATCTGGACGGATTTCTTAGGCAGACTGAGATCCAAATCAGACAAAGAGGCAGTGGCATACCAAATGAATTTATCATCTGACATCTGGTATTTCAGCTTGTCACTGTCTAAGCCCCAGAGGTGTTCCTGGGTCCCAAGCTTGGAGGTGCTTTCTCCAAAAGGAGAAAGTGTAAGAGGGTAAGCAGTTGTTGGCAACGCACTCAGGGATCACTATTATTCGATTATTATTTTCTTGGTGCAGGGGATTGCCTCCTGGGTCGGTGCTCTACCACCACTGAGTCACGCCCCCAGGCCCAGGTGGTCACTTCTGAAGGGACAGTTTGGAGTCAGGGATCCTGAGGAGCCAGGCTGGCTTTCTGGGCACTTCCCCATGGATGCAGGTAGATTATGTTTAGTCAGCAAGGATTCTAGTGTCGCGGTGTTTCTACAACCTTGACGTTAGCTGGGCCCTCAGAGTGCCTGGGACCTGGCTTCTCAGAAGCAGGAGCATAATTGGTCCTGTTTCTTACAGGTCACATCCTCCTGCCACGCACAGGAAGCTAAGCAGGGGAGAGCTTCTGTTATTGAACCAAAAGGAACTTTCTGCTGAGATGGAGAATTATTGATCTCATTTTTATTCTTCTCTGGGTATGAATTTTAAAAGAAAACAATTTGGTTCCGGGGCTATGGCTCAGTGGTAGAGCGCTTGCCTAGCCTGTGTGAGGCACTGGGTTCGATCCTCAGGACCATATAAAAATAAATAAAATAAAGGTCCATTGACAACTAAAAAAAAATTTAAAAAATAAAATAATTTTTCCATATCTTAAAAGTGATCAAAGAGCCCAGATTTCAATCAGAGAGATCTGAATGTCCTTATTTCCCCCCCACTTTCTTTCTGTTTTAGTTGGAACAGAATGAGGACCTGACCTTGGAAGAGGGATTTCAGAATGGAAACAATTATCCATGAACAACAAAGACTAGTACTAAGGCTTATCAGGAAAATAAAAAGGTGGGGTCCAGTTTTGAAGTCTTGGGAAGGAAAGACCCTCAGGACAGCAATGTCCTGGTAAGTCCCCCTGGGGGGACCCTGCTTGGCTGTAATATCACCTACTCAAGGATTTCAATTGGTTTCCTTTGATTAAATCATGCTTCAAGAGATTCGACCTTTTACATTCGGGATTCTTCCCATCCTCTATAAAATTAAAATCCTTTTAGCTCTGAGACTGCTGTGCATAATTACATTACAAATGTCAAGTCCCTATTCCTTCCTGTCAGTCACATTTCACATGCCCATGGCCTTCAGCCTCCTGTGTGGCCAGAGAGTCTTTTCTCAGTGTTGGGGGTGGGGGATGGGGAACTGGGCTCCTGTTATTGGCACCTTGGGGACAGATGGGAAGTTTGTTGGTTTGGCTGACTGTGCTGGTCGTGACTGACTCTTCCATGTGAAAGATGGGCAAGAGAGGCACATCCTTTCGGAGCAGCAGGAGGCTCTGGCCTTGGGTTTGCTGGCTCTTAATAGCAATATGGCTGGCATGATGCAGGCACTAGATTCCCAGCCAAGAATCTCACCATTGAGCTCCGTGAATTCAGGACTTCTGAACGGAGCCTTCATGACCCAGTTGTTGTCTCTCAATTTTCCCTAGCCAAGAAGTCCCCCGTCACTAATTATGACGCCAAGTGATTTATGGCTGATGGCTTTGTGTTAATAAGGCCAGTGTCCTGACCTCATGCAGAATCAAGCGATGTCACTCATTGACATGAATTCTTTTTATTTTATTTTATTTTATTTTAATGGTGCTGGGGATTGAACCCAGGGCCTTGTATATGCAAGGCAAGCACTCTACCAACTGAGCTATATTCCCAGCCCATTGACATAAGTTTTTTTTTTTTAAACAAAAGTTTGGTGATCACCTAAGTGTCACTTTAATACTGTGGCTGTGGAATAGTGAATCTCATGCATTTACTTAATGTCGGGGGAGGAGGTGTAGTCACACCATCACCAACCGGAGGCTGCAACTTACCAGAACACGCTGACCTGGATCCTGTTTTAAAAACAAGTGTTATTCCCTTCGGTTCTGTCTGCATCCCAACAGCACAAACTGGTGCCTGTTTAATTGGTAAGTAGCACAGGAAAAGGGGCTTGGAAGCCCATGAATTTAAATTTACCTGCATATAGGTTCAAGGAAAAATATCCAGCCATTCCCTCTGGGAAGGTTATTTATAATTCAGCTGTGTTCATTCAATACTTGTTATTGACAGCTCACTGGATTCAGCTGTTGTCTGAATTGCATGTTTATCCAACCGTTAACAAGTATTTATATTAGGAAAAAATGAGTTTATTAAAAAAAAAAAGCTACATGGTGTGGCTTTAAAAACTAAACGACAGTGTGGCATCTGTTACTTTTTGGATCACCATAACTGGAGTTCCATCAGCTCTGAATTAGCCTGGCATCAATCATCTAGTCCACTGGCAGCTTCTCTCTGGTCATTTCACTGCTAAGGACCCAGTGAAGGCGAACCAAGGAAAGTGACAGGAACTGGGAGCCTCCCATCAATGAGGCCCTGGGGGCAGGAAGTTGGTGCCGTAAAGAGGGAGGGGGAGCAGGAGGAAGGGGCGAAGAGGAAGGGGATGAAGGAAAGGAGAGGAGGGAAGAGGGAGGGGAGGAGGAGCAGGAGGAAGGAAAAGAAAGGGGAAGAAGAACAAGATGGATGGAAGAGAGGGTGGAGGAGAAATGGGGAGAGGAAAGGCAGGAAGGAGGGGGAGGAGGAAGAAGGGGAAGAGGGAAGAGGAGGGGAGGGAGGAGGGAGAGGTGGAGGAAGGAGAGGAAGGAAGAAAGGGAAGAGTAGAGGAGGAGGAGGAAGGAAGGAAAAAGGAGCCAGAGAGAAGCGAGACGCCCACCCATGTGCCCCTTTCTCCCACGGTTCTGGGAGTTAATCAGTCATTGGGTCCACGCTCCCACCCCTGTCCCTGGCACTTAGCAGGCACTCAGTACCCAGCAAGTGAACCTGGGAGACATTTTACACCATTTCAGGTGACTGTGGTCTCTTGAGGGACACTTATTTACACCATGCAAGGGAAGACACAATGCCTATTTTTGCTTCTCAAGCTCCCTATAACTTTCTGAGCTCAGCCCAGGAGTGGCTGTTTGAGGTGCATTTCACTGTTACAGGTTTCAAATCCATTGGGACACACACAGCAATTGGAACAAGACACTCCTCTCTCCCTGTGGTGGATATGGAAGAACACTTTTTGGTTCTATTTTCTCTCTATCCACAAAAGGAGAAACAATTTTACTGTAGTCATCAGCCAGAAAAATTATACCTACTGCTAATAACGTGCAGAGCAAATGACAACAACCTCTTCATTGGTATAGTGACAGAATTATATCAGCCTGGACTCTGGCAGACTGGGAAACATTTCTTCTTCTAAAGAGCCCAAGAAACTGCAGATTGGAATACAATCATTTAGTCACTGCAATTTCTGACTTTGTTTTCTGGTGCATACATTGGAAAATTCCTTGCATCTATTTTTCCATAAATATATTTTTTAAACCCATCCCTCTGAAAGTGTCAGGTGTTTTGTTTTTGGTACCAGGGATTGAACTCAGGGGCGGTCAACCACTGAGCCACAGGTCTTACTCAGTTGCTCAAGGCCTCGCTAAATTGCTGAGGCTAGTTTTGAACTTGCGATCCTCCTGCCTCAGCCTATCAATGTTTGTCAATGTTTTGAGCACCTCAGTCATTGCCTAATGCTTCTTCGGTTTGATCACGTTGCGAGGTTATAACTTCTGAATGCAAATTTCCATGTTGTCCTTAAGTGGAATTCTAACAATTGAGTAATTTACACTATCAAATTCAGATGATAGATAGAGTTGAAGAACTGAATGTACTTCCATTTGGTGCCCTCCCTGGGGATTAATTACTACCTCCCACACTGCTTAGCAAGGGGAGATGAGGGAAACGGAGGTGGTGAGCACCCGAGGACAGCGTGCATGGGGACTGGGGCGCAGCTGCAGCGCCCTGGGAAGGAGAGACAACCTGGGCCTCCCGGGCTGCCCTTAAACTTCCTGAAACTGAGTTATCTTGGAAAGTGTTCGTTAAGTGCAACAGAGAAAAAAAATGGGACTTTGGTTTTCAACCCCATGACTCGGTATCCTCATTGGGTTAGCAAAGTCCATGTGATACTTGAAGACTAACACTCAGCATTCACACTTCTCAGGAAAATGGACCCTCTGGGTGAAGCTTAGGTGAGGCTGGACAGACTCCCTCTGTGCACGCTGCACTTCCTCAGGTGACACCCCGTGAGTTGTCACCTAGCTGGATCTTGGGAGTCCCCACTGCCATTATTTTTTTCTAAGGAAATCAGGGCTTAGAGATGTCTGCAGTTGTTCTGCTTCCTGACTTCCAGTGGGCGTAGTCAGCTGCAGACCCCAGGGCAGGAGCTGCCGCACCCTAGGGCCTAACTTCCTGCCCCATACAGAGGTGCACTCCACACTCCAGCTGTGAACTCCAGCTGAAAACCGGAGTCGGTCTTGAACCCTGTCCTCTACCTTCCAGGCTTGCCCCTGACACCCAGTTTTCCCCTAAGAGCCTAAATACCCTACAGCATCATTTCATCATTTGTTATTTTCAGTCTCTCACCAGCATTCTAGAATGTCCTTTTCTTTTTTTTGGTACCCGGGATTAAAATCAGGGGCATGCGACCACCGAGCCACATCCCCAGCCCTTTTTTGTATTTTATTTAGAGACAGGGTCTCCCTAAGTTGCTTAGGGCCTCTCCATTGCTGAGGCGGGCTTTAAATTCCCAATCCTCCTGCCTCAGCCTCCCGAGCCACTGGGATTACAGGTGTGTGCCACCACCACACCTGGGTTTTTCTTCCACTTTTATACTGATGGAAGCTGCCATACCAGGTGAAAGAGGACAGGGATATTTCTATAAGAATCATTTTAAAGAATACGGCAGCTGGGTGCAGTGGTGCATGCCTATAATCCCAGTGGCTCGGGAGGTTGAGCCGGGAGGATTGAGAGTTCAAAACTCATTCTCAGCAGCTTAGAGGCCCTAAGTAACTCAGTGAGATCCTGTCTCTAAATTAAAAAAAAAAAAAAAAAAAAAAAATACTAAAACTACGCTTCTTTCTGATAGCATAAAACTCGCAGGGGTCCAGGCTCCAGGGCCTTGGAGACTCAATTCTCCTGCCTTCAGCTTCCTACTCTTCTGGAGCCTCCCTCTTGGCACTGGTCTTTCTGTTTCTTCATTCAAAGTTCCGGCTCCCTTTCAAAGGGACATTTAAATGATCAAGCCACGGGAGAGGAAGTGGATGCATTGTGGGTGAGATGCACGTGTCTCCTACATGCCCAGCTCCCACTTTCTCTTCCCATTACCATATTCGGAAAAAGTCCAAACTTACATATCATCGAAGACCAGTTTCTGCCGCTTGCAGTCCCTGTGGCCACTGGAGCCTGGAGACCAGGGCTCTGTTTGTGGCCGGGTCTTGCTGTGGAGGAGACCGTGCTCAGCACTGTTGTGAGTCGCTTTCTAAACAACAAACAACACAGGAGTCCTTGAGACACTCGCCACCTGGCTGGAAGAATGACCATTAAAAGAGCATCTTTTGCTCTACCTTGTGCTTCAGAGTTGATGGTTATTATGTCTCAATAAAGAACAAGAAATATGGTTTGAGGATCCCTCATTCAAAATGCTGGGGACCAGAAGTGTTTGGGATTTTTGGATTTTTTTTCCCCTAGACTTTGGAATATTTGCATAAACATAATGAGAGATCTGGGGGATGGGACCCAACTTTAAACATGAAATTCATTTTTTTATATCTGTTTTATACACATACCCTGAAGGTTTTTTTTTTTTTTTCAAAATGAACTCATCCTGGGAAGATGAGTGCGCCAGGGCCACCGGCCACTGGAGGCCAGCATGGCTGTGAAGAGGGGCTCACCTATGGTGTTAGCTGTGTAGGGGCCCAGAGGGGCTGGGGTCTTAAGAGAAAATCACTTCTTTTCAATCTTTCTTTGTGGGGGAGGGCTACCTGGGATTGCTCAGGGGTACTTGGCCACTGAGCCACATCCCCAGCTCTATTCTGTATTTTATTTAGAGACAGGGTCTCACTGAGTTGCTTAGCACTTTGCTTTTGCTGAGGCTGGCTTTGAATTCACGATCCTCCTGCCTCAGCCTCCGGAGCCACTGGGATTACAGGCGAGTGCCACCGAACCCAGCTCTACCTCTTTTCAATCTTATCACCACCATTTTGCAGATAAAGAAATGGGTTCCGAGATGAGACAACTAGGGCCAAGATCACCCTGCAGCTGAGTCGGGGGCGGGGGGGGGGGGGGAACTGTGCACCCAAAGTTATCCATGAGACTCTGCTCCTCCCCAGGGAAGTGCTGGCATCACCCGAGATTACTGGAAAAGGGGTGGTTCTGGGTGTCCCCCACTGTGGCTGGGACACTGGCCTATAAGGGTGGAGTGTGAGACCTGCAGATTTTAATATAGTTTCAATCTCAGATTTAATTCTGCCATGGGATAAGGAAGTTTTCCCAGTATATAGGTTGGTTGGTTCAAAACTCCCAAACTGCTGTGCCCCAGGATGGTATTTCTTTGGAGTTTGAAATCCTGCAAGGAGGCTTCATAAACAGAGGAGACCTGATATATATATATATATTTTTTTTTTTGCATGAATTTATTCTTCTTCTGCTCTCTGTGAGGAAGGCTGAAGGAGTCCTCTCCTTTGCCAGGTCTCCCCAAAGGCTTCCTTCAGGGATTCTCTGCAGAACCTCCCAAATGAGTGGAGACTCCTAAGCTGGGGACAGAGGGTGTGGCGAGGGTGTACCACTGCATTCTGATTCTATGTGGGAAAAGAGGGGAATACACCCACCGTGAGGTCCCCGGCATGGGACTGCAGTTGGCTGTCGGTGGCCTTAGACTTTTTGTTGGATGAGGAGGAAGTAAACACACCATTGCCATGAGATCGGCTGGAAGAAGTCAAGTCCTCGCTGGAATATTTGTGTTTAGATGCATCAGAGAGCGGTGAGATGGGCGATCGGAGCATTTTTTCATTTTTATTTATTGGTATTGCCAAGCTGAAAAAGTAAGTTACAGTAATGGAAAATCACACAGTCAGCATAGGGAAAGGTAAGTACTTACATATGACCAAACCTCCCCTTTAAGACCTGCAGGTAGGAAGAAATTTATTGGTAATTATTACACCAGGAGCAACCTTATGGCCACAGGACCCTAACAAACAGTAGCCAATCTCACTCACTGTTTCTTTCTTTTTCGGTAGGGGGGCTACCGGGGATTGAACTTAGGGGCACTTAACCACTGAGACACATCCCCAGCTCTATTTCGTATTTTATTTACAGACAGGGTCTCACTGAATTGCTTAGTTCCTTGCTGTTGCTGAGGCTGGCTTTGAACTCATGATCCTCCTGTCTCAGCCTCCTGAGCTGCTGGGCTTGCAGGCATGTGCCACCAGGCCTGGCTCATTGTTTCTTACTCTGGTAGGATGAACAGTAATTCTGGAGTTAGCATCAAAAGGAGTAGCCAAGAGTAATAATATGGAATTGCATGTTCCAAGTTTTTCATCCAAGAATCTCAAAATAATCACCAATTTTTTCCTTATAAGCTGAAGCATAGAGTAATGGGACAGTCAATCAACAGTGACAAATGAGTTCTCCATTGCTACAAGGACTTTTGCCAACATCTGAGCTTGTACTCATTACTAGATAGAAAATAATAGAATCACAGGGCATTCTGTGCAGCAGAGTGCCGATGCTCTATTGTTGAGCTTCCCAATTACCCAGGCATTGATCAGAGTAAACACAGAACACAGAAACTGTTATTAGAAATTACAACTTCTGATTCCTAGCTCTTTATTTTACCTTCAAAACGACTGTCTATTCTTGAATATAATGTTCTCCACAATCAATCATTAGAGAAGAGGGATTCACTTGTATTTAAGTCTCTGCAATGGATATTATGTTGTTAGGAATCCCTGCATTACTTCGGGAGAAAAAATAAAGTATTGTTTGGGGGCAGACATATCAGCCAGAAATAAACTCAATCACTGTTAATTTAAGATGGTTATAGAGTCAGTTTACCAAAAAAAGGGTCACGCCATTTAATGAAGATTTAGTCATTATTCCTGGGGTCATGAACTCTTAATTGCACGTGTTGATTATCATTGCAAACAAACTATTAAAGTCACTTCAAAAAGCAATTTCCTTAGCTGGTGGTCATGGTGGAGAAATTATACAGGCCTGTAGAACAAATGACAAAGCCAAGCTTCTTAATGTTACATAAATAGATAGGCGTGGAGATAGAACCTCTGGTTCCAGAAGCAGTGTGTGTCTCACAACTCAGAAAGCAGTGAGCAGATATGTTCTAGGAAAGCGCTTCAGGTGACTCCAAAGTAGCTCATCTAGTGATGGTGAAGATGATGGTATATAGGATGTGAGGAGCCTGAGAGCACTAGCTTCTTGAAACATGAGGGGGAAAGACCTATTTCTAAGTGTCTATTATTTTATATACTTCATGGTTTTTTAGTGTGCATGAAAAACAGATTATGACGTTAAATATTGTCATGGGCATGTGATTGTCCCTTCTTCAAAAATATTTCAAATTTATATATTCCTAGTTGACCAAAGAAACCTTCTCTGGAGTTCTTTGGGAAAGGCAATCACCTATCTCTGGGACCATTTGACGGCACCAATAAAACTTGACAGTAGTCAGAATGACAGCTATTATGAAGACAAACAACAATAAGTGTTGGTGAGGATGTAGGGGAAAGGTACACTCATACATTGCTGGTGGGACTGCAAATTGGTGCAGCCAATATGGAAAGCAGTATGGAGATTCCTTGGAAAACTGGGAATGAAACCACCACTTGACCCAGCTATCCCTCTCCATGATCCATACCCAAAGGACTTAAAAACAGCATACAACGGGGACACAGCTACATCAATGTTTATAGCAGCACAATTCACAATAACTAAACTGTGGGAACCAACCTAGATGCCCTTCAGTAGATGAATGGATTAAAAATGTGACATATATACACAATGGAATATTACTCAGGAATAAAAGAGAATAAAATCATGGCATTTGCAGGTAAATGGATGGAGTTGGAGAAGATAATACTAAGTGAAGTTAGCCAATCCCCCCAAAACAAATGCCGAATGTTTTCTCTGATATAAGGTGACTGACTCATAGTGGAGTAGGGACGGGGAGCATGGGAGGAATAGAGGAACTCTAGACAGGGCAGAGAGGTGGGAGGGGAAGGGAGGGGGTTAGCAATGATGGTGGAATGTGATGGACATCATTACCCAAAGTACATGTATGAAGACATGAATTGGTGTGAACATATTTATATACAGAGATATGAAAAATTGTGCTCTATACGTGTAATAAGAATTGTAATGCATTCCACTGTCATATATCTAAAAAATAAAGTCAATTACAAAAAACAAAAAATAAAAACTTGACAGTAGTTATGGAGATATGCAGACCAACTCTTGGAAATTTCACTCACATTGTGGCATAATTGAACCTAAGTAAAACTATCAGAGCTGGGAGGTTCTGCCAGGCAAAGTTGCTACAAGAGGTTTTTAACTTGAGGTCCATGAACTTGGATGGCAAAAAGTTACATCTTCATTTTCACTAACCTCTCACTGAAATGGAATATTTCCTTTAATTACAAGCAAGGGAAAGAAACGAGAGGAGCGGGTACTCTGGAATCCTATTAGCAATGCCTGCCATTGGGTCACCAGTAGAAATCACCCATCATGGATATTTTTAGTAGCCACAGGCATCCTGAAATATCTTTTATATTCAATACTACTTGACAACTACAGTCACCAAGATATCAGCCAGGGAGGTTATTTAATGCATGAACAAAGAGGTGCATATCACATACTTAGGTAATTTGAGGCTGCAGTCCCCCCATTCATTATTTTCACAACATTTGGGGATGCCATCCCCTCTGCACAGAGGGCTGCCGCTGTCCCTCCTATGCAGACCTTCCACCTCCTGGCCGCCTTCCCAGGGGGAGCCGAGCATGCAGTAGGCCCGCACGTCTGTGTCTGTGCCCTTGCTCTCCAATGTCCTCTCCCAGTTTTAGTGCTGCTTTATATCTTTCCCTAACCTTTTGGTTTACATTTTTATGTGTTGTGCTGAAACATTAATCTCCCTTTAAAACCCTGAGTGGACAGTAGGGGAGAGTAAGGGTGTTAGCGCAGAGCAAAAGCTACTTCTCTGTGGAGGTGTTTCTAAATGGAAAGAGCTTCTGTGGTGAATGATGAGCTCCTGGCTTATAGAGAACCTTCTGGACTGTGCCCTGCTAAAGAGCTATTCATCACAGAGGGGTTTGGTGCATAGTGGGGCCATACGGAACTCCTTCAGAGGAGATGCTGGGTAGCTACTTCACCTTGGAAGCACAGATCCTTTTGAATTCCACAATTTTAGTCTACATGGGGGCCTTTAGGGGCAGCACTGGAGAGCCCATTCCTCATCCTTGTAGTAGCCTTAATGTTCTTTGATCCCTAAGCTACCCTTAATGTTCCCTTAATTTTCTTAAATCCCTGAGTAGCTACCATTAAAACACTGACTTGAAAATTCAGTTATTACATTTTTGGGGGAAGAAATGTGTTTGGGGAGCACAGAGCTGTGTGCACCTAGTAACTGGTCTCTGTCACAGAGGAGGGCCTGACATGGCTATTGGGAGTGTGACATGAAGTCCACATTGAGCATAATTATAAAATTTAGGTTAAACTAAGTCTGAAGACTAAGGCCAGAGCACGTATCAAAAACTTGGATTCTCTCTCCAAGTGGCACCTGCCTTTCAGATCCAGAGACCTCTCCGGCTCACGCCCACCTTTCAGGGAACATGTGTACCTGTTGATGTTCATGCTGCAGTGGTTTGAAGACAGAGTACTATTGGCGGAGTTGGCTAGTCGAGTAGAGCTCTCTTTCTCCCCCTGGGCCTTCTTCATCTCCCTGTAGTCATCTTCGTTGTCGCACTGTGTGGAAATAAGCAAAAGCCAATCAGCTTTGGATTTTGAGGGGTCATAACATGGTGCGTGCTCCAAGACACTTCCAAAGAGCAAGGCATCACGGTTGGGGGGCGGGTGTCTCTCAGAGAGAACTAGTGGCTGAGCTTGAACGCTCAGGAAACCTGTATGGGTTTAGTATTGACAGCTTATTGAGAGGAAGGGCATGATGTCATGATCAAAATTTGGGAGGGGACATTTTTAATGTTGCAACTTGCTCAGGATTTAGTTTTCCCAAGCAAACTTCTTTTTTTTTTATTTAATATTTTCTAGTTGTCGATGGACACAATAGCTTTATTTATTTATTTATTTTAATGTGGTACTGAGGATCAAACCCAGCGTCTCACACATGTGAGGCAAGCGCTTTACCACTGAGCTACAGCCCCAGCCCCCCTAGCAAACCTATTCTGAACCCACACTGTAGCCTGAGCACCACCCATCCTGGCCTCTCAAGGCATCAGGATAAGGTACAAAAAAACGCATATTCCCGGGGCTTACTGGGGTAAGGGTGGTGGCAGGCCTGCACCTTTTCACCTTGAAAGCCGCACCTTCTGTGGATGGCAAGCCAAGATGCCTTACTTCTAGTTCACAATTCCCAGCCGGTAACATCTTAAAGTACCTTTTCACACTAGGGGACTTGGACTGGACTCTTATCACCATGACTGTGTGACGTGTGTCAGGGTGCAATAGCAAGGCAGTCCATAAAAGAAGTACTTCCGGGAGACAGCAGGAGCCCAGTCCAGGGTGGGATCTTCAGGGCTTCCTGTGGTGTTTTCTAGGAGACAAGTGCCAGCCCCTGAGAGAGCACCGCTGACCTTTTCTCTCTAGCTGGGACAGTGTGGCACAGCCTCTGCCATAGGCATCTCAGATCCTCACACTGTAATAGTGGCCCCATGGAGGACCCAAACCAAAGCTCTGAGTCGGTGGTCCTCAGTTCCAGGGCTTCAGCAAGGGGAGACCCAGCACCTTTGACAGACAGGTCTATGGGTTCCTTTCCAACACCCAGTATTGACTGGGATCTTCACATCCCAGGATGTTGAGTAAAGAATGCTACAGAAACGTCCTTTGACTTCTCCTGTGTCATTGCTTATTGAGGACCCATTAGGTTTTGTGAGTAAAGCTGGTGTCAGGCTTAGTGGTAAATAAAATTTTGCAAATTAAAATAAAAAAAGTCACGGATACCACAGCTATTTAAATACAGACCATTATGGACTTTATATGTATATCTTTCTGCACTTCTCTCTGTATGCTTATGTATATCTATAGGGTTAGATTTATTTTCTATTCATAGGTTTATCAACATCTGCTTCTGCATATTTCTTATATATTTATTTCCATCAGCCTATCCATCAAGCTCAGAGGTAACATCCACACTGATTCCTAGGCGATTAATCAATTGATTCAACAAAAAATTTTTTGAATTTTTTGTTGAATCAATTTATTCAACAAAAAATTGTCAACAAGCAATAAGGAAGGCAGGGTGCCTAGGGGAAAATGGGGGGAAACAGGAGCAGGGAAGAAATGAGCTAATGAAATTGTATGGTTTGAATGTGTTGTGCGACCCTGACACCATTTTATGGTGAAGAGAATGAAGTTCAGAGAAGAGAAGATGAGCTGGTTGAGGTCACCCAGGATGCTGGGCTAACCACAGAATTTTTGAGGTTTAGTGCAAAATGAAAATGCTGGGCTGAAAAGCAGGAAGAGTGACTTCATGCTGGGTGGTGCACGCTTGTAATCCCAGCAGCTTGGGAGGCTGAGGCAGGAGGATCGCAAGTTCAAAGCCAGCCTCAGAAACTTGGTGAGACCCTAAGCAGCTTAGCAAGATAAAAATAAAAATAAAAATGAAAAAGGGCTGGGGGTGTGGCTCAGTGGTTAAGGGTCCCTGAGCTCAATCCCCAGAAACTTCCCTACCCGACAAATGACCTCATCAAGTATCAAGTAAAAAACATTTCAGTCTCCCACCTTGACCTGCCATGGTGGTATCTATTTGTGACTTCATGCTGTGCTCCTTTGCATTTGGGGATAACCTGGGGACCCTGGGGGTAAATGGAGACTTTCAAGGGCTGGGGCTGCCCTGGGATAGGCACCTGCAGGTGGCCCACCAGTGCCAGTCTGGCACCTATCTTCTGGGCTGGCATGGATGGCAAAGCCCAGTTAGGCACCAACCACCCCTAATACTGACCCATAGTGAATGGGCCACCCCAGGGCATGCAAGCTTCCTTGTGGATCACCTCACTACCTGGACTGAGGCTGAGCAAGATGGAGACCCTAATCTTGATCCTTGCTGTGACTACACCTGAGCACTATCTGGGGCAGGGGGGCTGAATGGTCCCTGGTCTGAGACCAGAAGGAGGAGAAGACTGCACAGGGTGGAGGTTCTAGAAGGCTGAAGATCAGACAAAAGTTTTCCTGAAGGGATAGGTAGACAGAGGGACCTCCACACATGATCCATCACTAACCAGACCCAAATTCAAAGATAAAATGAAGAATTTCAAGATGGCGGCCATAACATTCAACTCCATGGGAGCCTTTGTGGCTGCTTTACTGCTGCAGGGTCCATGGAGCTGGCACTGGAGGAGGAAAAAGTCAAAGATGGGATCTGAGGTCAGGTCAGCCTGATGTCCACATCCACATACTTCCCACTACAAGTGAGCACTCTCAGAACAAAGGGGGATCCACCATGTGGGCTCTGAAGGTGAATGGAAACTATGCTGGAATCTCTTCATAAAACTGTCTTTGGTTTTAGCAAAGGTAAGTAGCTACCTTTTGAAGATATTTCTTTTCACGAACTTTGCTGCAAGGGGTTCAATTCTGCTTCATAGGGCTGTTATTTAATGTAACTATGTGAAGACACACATTCTTCAGCACTTTGTGATAAATTTTCCTGCTGATGGGTGCCCTTCGCAGGTCATGGAAATGATTATAATAAGGAGACTGTCTCTCTTTTCCATATAACTTTGAAAGTGAGGAACACCTTTATCCTGGCCAGGAAAAGGCAATAACCTTACTCTCTAGACCCTCTTAATCAGGGACTGGAAACAGCTATAAAACCCATGTGTTCAGTCTTCTTTTTCTATTGACAAAACATTGGAAACAAAAATACTACACAAACTCAGACTGACTTCTTATTTTGAGACTCTGGGGCCAGACACTGCCTGGGTTCATTCCTGGCTTTGTCCCTTTGACCTACATAACCTCAAGTAAAATCACTTTAGGCTTTCAGAACCTCTGTTTCCTCACCTGTAAAATGGTCACAGCAATGATATTTGCCTCATATCATTGAAAGGACTAAATGATTAAATGGTACAAAGTGCTTTAACAGCATCCCTTTTGGGAACATAAATGCATGTTAACTATTGCTGGTAACAACTCTGTCCCAAATTTGGAACTGTCCATGAATATTTGCAATCTTTGATACCTACTGTGTTTTTCACTGTGGTTTAAATTACTTTTGAAGATACAGAAATAGGAAGGGCAAAAAATCCTGGGAATTGGCTTTACATTATGATGAAGGTATTCCCTGAACATCTGGTGTCTGTTGCCAGGGGCAGCTCCAGCCCCTGTACTTGAGCTGCCCTTCTCCCTCCCACAATGCCTCACCTGTTCATCTCTCCTGGTGCCACTACATCCCCCCCACCTCTGCTTATTCTAACTCCCTCTCAGAGCCCTCCCAGCCTCTCTCCACCATGAAGCCCTCCCTGATTGATGCTACAGGCTGCTATGAGGACTTGGACTTCAGTACTCATCCCACACCCCAGTCAGGCTTAAACTTCACAAGGATACCGGCTTCTTAGGTAGATGAGTGATCCTCCACCAACTCATCCCATCCCTCCCAGGGAAGAATGGGGTTCACCACACTTTCAACTTTCACATGTGCCCAGCTTGGGTCTGTCTGAACACACTAGTACCTGTGTATCACCATTGCCACACGAGTTGGACAGGGCTTAATTATCTACCACTATAAAATGGGAACAGTAACAGTACTTGCTGCATTGGATACTCCTGAGGATTTAACTGGGATTATAGATGTTAAGTACTTAACACATTTGGCATAAAATTAAGGACACGGAAAACTCCTGCTGCCACCTACAATCCCAGCCAGCAGCCCACCTGTGCTCTACCCCTTGCCCACAAATTAAAGTCCCCTCCCTTCCAGACCCCCTTTCTCCCAGGACTACCTTGCGTTTCCTCTTGGATTTTGGCAAAGTCTTCTCGGTGGGCGTGTCCAGAGCGTGGCTGGGCGGAGCGCTTTCTGCGTCCTTGGCCGCAGGAGCACTCAAGACTCCAGGCTCCTGGGGCAGGTGTTCTGGGATCCTGGACAGGAGGGTCAGGTCAATTTTGACCCAGAGTGACCTGACCTCATCACTGTCCTTCAAGGGAGAGAGAAGTTCGTTCCTGCCGAAGGGGACCAGGGTGTAGAACTGCTCCTCCAGCTCCTTGGCGATGTCACTGGTGGTCCTGGCGTTGATGGAGCCTACGGCCGCACGGGGGCCGCTGCCGCTGCTGACGCTGTTGGCGGCCTCCTTGAGTCTCTGGTCACTCCCAGAGGAGGCGGCGGCCACTGCCTGGCCTTTGGACAGAGGGTACTCCTCCTGCTCCGACTCCAGGTCCGAGTCCGAGGAGGATGATGAAGATGACGACTCTGTCTCGATAAATTCCTTGGATTTGGGGACGATCCGGCTCAGACCCCGCGTGCGCCGCTTCTCGCAGGTCACCGAGGAGCGCAGCTCCTTGCGGTGGCTCGTTCTGCTGTTGCCGCAGGGCCTGCTTTTGGCGGGCTCCGGGGGCACCACCACGCTGGCCCCCAGCGCGTCCGCCGCCGCGGGCTCCTCGGGCCGGTGGCAGTTGGCGCCGTCCCCGGCCGAGGTCCTCTCGGTGCGCCTGGTGGGCTTCTTGCCCGCCGACCTCCGGGCCGGCGCGGGGGCGCTCTCCGCAGGGGCGCCGGGCACCGCGGGCGGCGGGGCGGCGGCGCTGACGGCCACGGCCACGGCCGCGGGCGGGGACTTCTGCTTCACCCCTTTGCTGCCCGGGGCCTTGTTGGCGGTCCTCGGCCTCTGCTCCTCCTTGCAGGCACTCTTGAGTTCCTTCTCCCGCAGGCTGGTTTGGCAGACGTCGGGAAGCTTCCCGCAGTCCTGCACTTCATCTTTCACAGGGGTGTAGTATTGATTGCTCTCGGGCCCGTGGTTTTCATTTTGGATCAGAATAGGAGGCTTGTGGGGATTAACTTTGTTGAGCCATTTGTCCAGCTGCCACTTGTTAGAGGATGCCGGTTCAGCCTGAAAGAGAAAACCCGCGACAAACAAAACACCTTTTTATTACAGCTTCCCTTAAAAAGGGCCGGGCTGTTTTTCTTTCTTTCTTTCTTTTTTTTACCTTGACTGTACTCCTCTGGGTGCATATGCAAAAAATGAGCGGGCTGCCAGCAAACAGGAGATGCAAGCCAGGGATACTGCGGCAGCCCTTGGGCCCTCAGGGTGCCTAGACGGTGATGCTGCTCTTGCTGGTCCTAAGCAATTAAATATCAGCCCGACCCATTGGAGTCTACTTGAAAAAATAGGGGGCTAGCACTGTGCCTTGATGGAAAACATTTAAATCACTTCCAAGCATTTAAAAAGAATATATACACACACATGTATATTTGAGATTCCGTGAAATTTAAGTGGGGAATAATAATTCAGAGACCCTGGGCATTAAAGCACCCATTTCTAGTGAGACCAAACCTTGGGAAAAATCAAGGTACCTATATAGGAGCCCAAAGAGTTAGCATATAATTTTTGTAAAAGGGAAATCAAGGGCATAGTTATTTAGCTGTAGAAGCATTAACTTTGGGAAGGTGGCTCGTTTAGCAGAAGAGAACTCTCCTGTTCCAGGGACATGTTAAAAGGGGTTAAAAACCAAGATCTTAATGGAGTAAATGCTGATTCCAAATAATATGAAGACTATTAGTAGATAACAGGTGTACTGGGGTAGAACTTTAGCCAGAGTATTTTCAGTTGGTGACTAGAGGTGAAATGGGGAAAATGTTTTGAGGGTCAAGGTGAAGTATTTTTCCTTCCATATGGCCTCCTCACCCCTGAGTCTGCTGCATCTGTTGTTTAAGGGTGAGCAGAGATACCATTCTAGAACAAGAAGTTATTGCTCAATATTCTCCCCACTCCGCCAGGGCTGGGGATTGAACTCAGGGCCTCATGCATGCTTGGCAAGCACTCTACCACTGAGATATACCCTCCTCTAGTTTTATATTTTAAATTTGATCAGGTAAAGTCTAGAGTTAGGATCCATTGTAGGAGAAAAATTTGCTTTTAACATGATAAATTTCAAAAAATTCCTTTGATTTATGAAAATCAGCTGTTTTCAACAATGAGGTCTGTATTAAGAACAGCACTTGAGGCTCTGGGCCCGTGGTTTTCATTTTGGTCACAAATCTGACAGGGGTAAGACAACAGGGTCCTAGCTGAGCCTGGAAGAATTGGGGAGGCCCTGCTCAGGAACATGGGAAGCCTCTGATGGGCCAGAAGGGCATGGGACCAGGAGGAACTGGCCACACATTGTGGAGATTGGCCAAAGTGGTGGCAGGGACTGTGGATATCTTGCTCCTAACATATGAGACTGATTACATTTCAGGGAAAACCAGCACAGGGTGTCCAGTGACTTGAAGGAGCAAGAAAAGTCCAGTAGAGGCCAGAGTAGGGGCTTCGAGGGTGGAACATGGGCATCTTTGCTTATTTTCATGTCTCCCAAAGAAACGGGGCTCCAGAGGAAGGGAGCTCCCCATATCCAAAATGCTTGGGATCAGATGCATTTTGGATTTCGGGTTTGGGAATATTTGTACACCCATTATGTGATAAGTTTAGGGATGGAGCCATTCCCAAACACAACATTCATTTATATTTGATAGCACCTTGTGCACACAACCTGAAGGTAATTTTATATAATATTTTTAATAATGATGTATGTGGAACAAAGTATCAGAATTTCCCACTGTGGCCTCAGGTCAGTTCTCAAAATGTTTTGGGTTTTGGAGCATTTCAGATTTCAGACTGGAGGGGCTCAACCTGTCCCTTTTTTGCACCTCTGAGCTGTTATGTTTCAGTTCTCATTTTATTTTGGCTTCTCCTCTAGAGAAAGGCAAGAAGGGACCCCTAAAGAGCACACCTGAAGCTGTAATGGAAGATGCCCTCCTGGAGTCAGAGGAAGCAGGACAGGGGGATGCCCAATGGCTTCTTTGCCCAGGGGCACCCTCACCTTCCCTGAGATGAGCAGAGAAGGCCTAGAAGCTAATTGGGTGGCACAAATTCATGGCTTCTAATCTCATCTCCCCACCCCCATTTTTCCCATTATGTGACCACTGGGGAGTCAATGCCTTTTAAAGCTGTGCCTCAGCTTCCCCATACAAATGGGCCTAGTGAGTGGGCTGCAGCCACCCTTGCAGAAGGGGGCAGGTACTGCGGGGAGGGCTCACATACGTGGGGCAGAGCACCCGTGCTGCCCTCCCAGTGGAACATTGTTCTCTCCTACTCCAAGCCTTCCACAGCTCACATCTCTTACGTAAGCACATGGGAGTCTTTAGCACAGGGTGAGAGGCACGCTGAAACAGGCAGTATGAACAGGGAAGGGCAGAATTTAATACTTTTCGCATGGGCCCCCTGCATGACGTGTTTGAGGGTGATTTTTTCTGCACTTCACAGACAAACAAATTAGTTCGAAGTGCCATTTTCAGTACACCACTAAATCACGCTCCCTTTCTCCAGGATCTATGATGACCTCCTATTGCCTCTCAAACAAAAGCCACGTTCCCCTGGCTGTCATCCAAAGAATATCATCCTGCGATCAGCTTTCATTGCTGGCGCACCTACCAGATGCCTGCCACTTTACACGTATTACCTAATTTAACCTTCACAGATAAGAAATAGTATCTCCCTTAATTTGTAGATGAGGCTCAGAGAGGTTAAGTGACATGTCCGAAGCTGCACAACTCCCAGGCTTCACCAAGACTGAACTTGTACTTGCCTAGGTGTAAAGACCAGATTCTCTGCATGGTTGTTTCACTAAACTCTCCCACTACTCTCTGGTGTGTGTGGGGTCATTCCTTTGAGAAATGTCAGTCCTCAACCTAAAACAATAGTATTAGATCTGATTTTTGGAGCAAACACCACGAACTCTCGAAACAATGCCTGCTACTCTCCATCTACTCAATAGCACAGGCTTTTGATGTTCATATCTGTTCCATGTGTACATGCCTTGAGTCTTTAACAAAGTCCAACACTTCTTTCTGGCCAGGACAGGCCCCTTGCAGTATACACAGAAGGCCTGGAAGAGAGATCGCTATGACTGCTCCCAGTGAGTGAGCTGTCAATCAAAATGTACCATTTGTTCCTGACAAACACCTCACAGATCAGGCAGGAGAGAAATGTCCTACATTCTGGGGAGGAAGTGATTGTGGCCAAGGAAGGTGAAATATCAGAGAGTTGAGTGGCAAAACAGAGGGAAAACCCAGGACCTCAGATTAGCGCAGCAGGCGTGCAGGCTGTGGCCCACCTCTTGAGCGCCATCCGGGGTTTCTGCCTGATGTTTCTATTTGCTTTCTGGCTTGGTGTGCTAGAGGTCAGCCGCAACTCTCTTCCCTGGTTATTTTTCTGACTTATGCAGGAACTCCCCACCACGTATCTGCTCCTCTGTGTCCTTCCTAGCACTTACTGCTGCGGACCTTAGCAGCTTCTGATTAGCAAGAGCCTTGTTGAACAAACCAGCAATTACAGTGATTCTTAAGAATGATCTGGAGCCTGGCCCAGGGGCACACACCTGTAATCCCAGCAGCTTGGGAAGCCAAGGCAGGAAGATCAAGAGTTCAAAGCCAGTCTCAGCAAAAGGGAGGCACTAAACAACTCAGTGAGACCCCTTCTCTTAATAAAATACAAAATAGGGCTGGGATGTGGCTCAATGGTGAGTGCCCCTGAGTTCAATCCCTGGTACCCTCCCCATAAAAAATAAAAACAATGATCTGGGGCAGCATCTTCCAAAATATGCTTTTAGTTTTTATATTCCATGAAGAAAGGCTGCCATGCTGGGTCCATTTGGGAAAAGTCACAGTGAAAACCTGTGTTTCCATGAGCAATTTTTAGGGCAGGGTGATGCCCTAAAGTGCATAGGTGTAAAGAAATGGGATCGGCTTACTTTACCCCAGAACTCACAATGACCTGACCAAGCTTGATCCCCCACCCCCATGTGCGGGTGTCAACGTGCCAATCCAGTGAGCTCCTTCCTGGCATGGGAGGGCACGTGATCCAGGAAAACTCCTGAGATAAAACCCATGGGAAAGAAATGGGGCTGAGAATGACTGAGCACAGGTCAGGCCCTGCAGAGGGCATTCGCAGCCACGGAGATGTTTACAGTGGCCCTTCCAGGGCAGCCTGCAAAGGAGGCCTTACATGATAGGGATTCACATGACAGGAAGTGCTGTTCAGCAATCAGGGCCATAAAGAACAGTTTGCGTGAAATTCAGTGGAGCACAGCGGGGTTTCCCAGCTCTGGCACATTGAGAGGAAGGACAAGGTGCCTTGAGAACTCAGAAGTGCCTCTTTCTACTCCTGGGTCAGGATGGCGTGGAGGGGAAGGGAGGGCCAGAGCATCTCACTGCAAGGCAGCACCATCCCGTCTGCGCAGTGGAATGTGAGGTGTACGGCTACCAGGAGCCCCAGTGATGTGTGGAGTTCAGGAAACAGGCCTCAATGCGTGTGAGGCTATGGGGGTCAGCTCCCTCAGAGAGAAGCAGGGGGGCTGGGAAGGAGGAGCAGAATCTTGCTACTTCCCATGACAGCGATTTTCAGCCTGCAAACCCATTTCCCTCCTACAGGGGGTATGTCTGCATTAACCTTGGGAAAGATGTAAGAGAACCTTACTTGGACTCCAATAAATACATCCCTTTCCAGTAGGAAGGAATGACGTCTAGTGTGGCTAACACACCATTTGCCACTTCTGCATTCCCTGCACCTGGAGGAGCAAGGAAGCATCCTTGGGGAGCTCAGATTTCTAGAAGACTTGCTCCCTCTCCTTCACCAGGGCCTCTGAGACCTGCCATGAGAAGGGCAGCAATTACCCTTTCACCATCCAAGAGGTCAAGGCCACGTAATGATCTCAGTGACTTTTAGCAAGACTCTGCTTAAAGCACTTCACAAATGTACTGCTCTTGGCAAGGTTTCAGCAGATTCAGTAACTCTGGGATTCACATCTCAGTGTGTAAACAAGACTCTGCACTCGCTCATGTATTCAACCTGCAGTCACAAAGAAGAGCCCCGACAGGGAGGTCTTCACTTCACCGACAAGACCCCTTATTATCCAACCCAGGGCCCTCATGCCTGGCTTTTGAGCTGTCCCTGGGAGTTGTTTCTTATAATTTGATGTTCTGGAATTTCTTAACCAATTGTAGTACAAAGCAGGTTTAATAAAGCCTGCTTCATTCCTCTACTTGATTCTATTTAACTACTATATTTTTTTCTGTTTCGAATGATCCCTGTTAGGATGTTAGATCTGTGAAGACAGGGCATTTTCTGATATTACTGCTGTATTCCAGAGCCGAGCCCAATGTCTATAGCTCTTTAAATATCGGTTGAACAAACACAGAGTGAGTGAATGAATGAAATTGTGAGGGAGGAATGATAATGTTAGTCTCTCGACTAAAAATCCAGGGTTAAAATAAGCTATGAGGCACTCATAGGGTAATGTCACTAAGGGCCTTTACCTTATGTGGGTGGGTAGGTGGGCAGATAGAGAAATAGGCACATCAAAGAGATCATGTGCTGGAGAGGGGGCTTATTTCAGATGAGTGGAGAGCTTTTTCATAGAGCAGAAAGATGCTGAGGAGGAAAGGGGGACTGTGGAGAGATAAAAAGAAAATCCAGAGGGACTGTAAGAGTCCCTCTGTGGAAGTACCTTTCCCGGGGTGACAGGTACAGAAGCAGCAAGAGTGCTGCTGCCCTCCCAAGGCCCTGGGCTTGCATTAGTGGCTTTGGTTTGTCGTCAGAGCCTATTTAGGAATCTGGCCCCCCTCAAATGACACAGAGGGTGGTCAGTAAAAAATCAAACCCGCAATCCACAGTGATGTCACCTGTTTATACACTTGGGAAGAAGCTGTCTTTTACTCCTTCTTTAGAAAACAAAACCTACACTCATGGCTCCCAGACTTGAGAAGTTTTCTCTGGGCCCTCACCCAAGAATCTCTGGGCTCTGAATTACTATTTAATTTCCCCCCTTTCCACTTTAAAGTAGAAACAGCAATGGTTTTTATTAGGACCTTATAATGTTTTTATACGAGGCACCTAAATCTTCCCCATAGACACTGGTCATGGTTGTAAAAGGTTTCATTATTATTTGTAGGTTGATGCTAATTTTCCCTTTTATATTTTCACAAAGAAAACACAGTTAAGAAGGTTTTATTAATATTTATAGCCCTTGTTCTTCTGATCCGTGACAAACTGCAAAAAAGGTAAGACTCTGAGCATGCCTGATCCATAAACTTTCTGTCCCTGTGATTTACTGGAGGTCCCACTTCCCAGGTGGCGAACTTTCCTGTCTGGTTATTGCCTCAGCTGACCCCGAGGGAGACCCCCATCCATTGGTTATTTCCTGTTGGTGATGTTTACAACATACTTGGAAATTTCTGGAAGTCAAATAGAGAGTTTTGGACCGTGAAAGATGATGCTTTGAACTTCAAAGGAAGTGGTGTCATTAGGAGAGTGGGAGGAGGGGGCGGAGTGGGGACAATGAGGAGCCCCAGGCCTTCCTGGCTCCGGGTGGTGCCCGGTTGGGGGCGGGGCAGGGAGGTGGCCCGAGTGGTGGCGGCGCCGCTTACCTCGGGGCTGGAGAAGTGCGGGGGCTTGCCGCCCTCTCCCTCGCTGGAGCTGCTCTCGGTCTCCGAGTCGGATCCCGAGCTGCTCTCGGAGTCGCTGGAGGAGCTGCTGCTGCTGCTGCTGCTTCCGCTGCTGCTGCCCTTGCTGGAAGGCACCGAGGTTCTGCAGTTGGTCTGCTGGACCCCAGCGCTGCCAGCCCAGCAGGCCCCCAGGGAAGGAAAGGGAAGGAAAGCCAAGTGAGCAAACAGGAAAACGCCAGCAGGCTGCCACCCCGCCGCCGAGGGGACAGGAGGCGCGGTGCAGGGGCCGCCCACGGGACCTGCCCTCCAGGGCAGCGGGAGGGCTGCTCCAGACCAGACCGCGGAAAGTGTGCCCCTCGGTGGCTGGGCCCTGGTTATAAGTGTAGCCACCTCAGAAGGGAAGGTGGCATAACATCGGAGTTTGCACGTCGCTGCTGTTCTGGGAATGGCTGTCCACATGCACCCCTGAATCCGATCAGCTCCAGGCAAGAAAGTCCAAAAAGCTGGGAATACGGTTTGCAAAGTATGCAAAAAGGACTGCTTTGTTTTTCCCCAGAGGAAAGACGACAAGAATTCGGACTGGAAGCAAGGGCACAGTGTTTTCTGCTCCCAGCTCTCATGGCCTGCTGCTGGAAAGTTCCAGAGATTTTGGGACTGTCAGAATTAAACATCTTGCTTCACTCTTTTTTTTCTGCCCTCAGAGTTGGGTACTGCTGTGGACAGGGGGCTGGCACAGTGTAGAAGAAGGTCCTGCATGGACATACTTGTATCTACCCAGACTTTAAAATTCCACCCCACAGTGGCTCATTGAAACAGCATTTCAAACTTACACTAGGTGTATATCTCCATGATGAAATTTGCCCAAAGTCCTTACCGACTCACAGACAACAGGACAAAATCAATCAACACCTTCCAGTGGTAATAAATGAATTGCAAAAACTAAAATGGCACATGTCCACCCAAAGAGCATTCAAATCTAAGAAAATTTCAGTACTTACATAATATTCAACATCTTCCACCTTCTTTTATTAACTGAACTGAAACGCACCTGAATGTGTTCTTTCTATGTTAAGCTCTAAACCCAGAAAATGTGGGTCACTTTTTTCATGCTGAGTCAGCAAAAAATCTGCCTTCTGCTTCCCACTGTGACCACTGCATCCTTAGGGAAGGACATAGCGAGGCAGGGGCGGAGGGGGGCAGTTCATGAAGGTTTAAAGCTTCAAGTGCAAAGCAGCCTGGAGAACGGAAAGGGCCCTTCTCACCCATCCCTTAAATCTCTGACAGATGCTCAGCCCAAGGACAGACTCTCATAAATCCTGGGTGTGGGGTTGGGGAGGTGGGCAATCCTCACTGGAGCCTTTTCTTCTCTATGTAAACCACCAGACAAGAAATGATCTCGTAGGAAAGCTGATAATAAAAGCAGCTTTTTGCACTGCAGGGTTAGGGGAAACCTTGGAGGTTTTCATTTCTTCCCACTAATGTCAGAGAACATACCCACTGCCTCCCAAATTCTTGAACAGACCATAGGCTCATGCTCTGCCTGAGCGGCAGGGATTTCTTTACCAGCCTATTGTTTGTGTCTGATATTGAGGGAGGAATCCAGGATCTTGAGGCAGAGGAGGGAAGGGGGTAGTTGGTACTCGAGGGATTGCACCGTTTCTTCCTTTTTTATATGAATGAAAATCTATCTTCCTGTTGGCTGAGTGAATGGAGATGGCTACTATCAATGGAATTAGACACTAAACAAAACACTGGATTCTGGCCAAACGTGAACATCTGGGATCCTCATTAATGGTTTGTTGGTAGGCCCACAAAACACTGAGAGGAAAACATAAAAATACCAAGAAAAGCAAAATAACACATGGCCCAAAGACTTCCTGGTGAAAAGGATGGTGGGGACAAATATGGAAGGAAGCGATTTGTCTCCCTGCCACACTCTGGGATGACATCTGCTGAAGACCAGGACATTAAGAGGAACAAAGAACATTTTGGTTGGTTTTTATAAATGGTGCTCAATGGCCTTGATCTGTATGTTCTACCTGCTTGGATTCACACAACAAGAAAACTTGTGAAGCTCGCTGTGTGTGTGCCTGGGCTTTGTGTGCACCAGAGGTGCCACGTGCAGGGATTCCTTGTGGCTTCCACCATGGAGCGAATGGGTGTCTAGTGAAAAGCAGCATTTTAATTTCTGGGAGAATATCCATAAAAATAGCTACCACGTTAATGGTTGCTGTCCTTAGTAATCAGACACACCAGCCCGAGGAGACAGAATCTCCCATCTGAGTTAGATTGGCAGAAAAGCTGTATACTCCTTGTTTTTCTTCCTTAAATTAGGAAACTGACTGAAAATGACAGTTTTACTGGCATAGCTATTATTTGTTTTTAAAACAATGGAATGAGCCAAGAATTTAGATTTTCCCTCATGCTTTGATTCTAAGGGTTGAGAGGCTCACGATGCCTCTGGGATCAGGATTGAATAGAGTCAGTCCCTGATTTATGATGAGTGCTTCACAAAAGATTTTCCAACTTTACTGTGGTGCAAAAGCAATAGACATTCGTTCAAAACTGGCTGTAGGATTCTGTATGTAGGAAGAATCCTGCTGGCCAGTCCAGAGATCAGGAGATCACCCCTCTATCCCCATGTCCACAAAGGCACCTCTGCTAGCTGGTCTAGCATGGGTCCTCGGGGACAGCTGGTCATCCTGGCCACAGCATCATGCCTGCTGTTGCCCTGAGTGCACACAGCTGCTTGGTCTCTGCTGGGGCAGCTGCGGCAGTGAGGCAGGAGAAGGACGAGGAGGCCAGGATGGTCGTCCCTGCAGGTTAGAACTAAAAACGAGGCTTTTATGTTGAAAATTACAAACTGAAAATGCTAGCCTGCCAACTGGCCGTCATGCTTACAAACTGGAGATACTTCAAAAAAAGGAGCAGAACGTCTCCTGAAACAATGACACAGCCTGGCTGACACGAGGACACCACTTTGAATGATTTTTAGGATACTTCCCGCCAACCTCCCGGACCAAGTGCATGAACATGGTGCCACTGACTCTGAAGACATTGGAGAATGTCTTGAGGTCACAGAATAAAAGTCTTTGTGTCACTAAAGCTTAGCACAGTGCTTGTCCTGTGATAGACAGTCACATGTGATTACTGATCGAAAAAACAAAGAGAAAAAAAAAAATCTACCACGGAGCTAGTGAGTCTTTAAAAAGGAGCCCCCGCCTTTCAAAAAGGCATCTCTTACACTCTTTCAGTTTGAACACTTTTTTTTTCCCTTTCAGAGAATATATTTTTTAAATGAACTCTAAATTTCATCTGCTATCATTTAAGCATGGTTCCATGGCGGACGGTTTGTTTACTTTATGCATTTTTATTTCATGAACTGTTCTCTGCTGGCTTTGTGAGTGGCCAGGGCTGAAGTATACCTTTGAGACGGGTCCAGCTTTCTTCTCTGCCATGTGCTTGTCATTTTTCTTCCTTTGGCTGCAATAACGCGTTCTTCTCAGAATCTGGCCTGGGCTCGGATTTCTCTTACAGACCATAAAAGAAAAGATCTGGAACCAAAATGACAAGTCCTGGGTCTCACAGGGGAGGGTGCGCCCGTTTGCCAGATGTACTGTGGGGCCTTTGGATACGTATCCACAAGCTTTTGACTGACAAGTGACTTAGAGAGGCGCTCTCTGCCTAATCCTGCCTGTGGATGGCCGAGCTGCCCAGCTTAGCACCTGCGTTGCACAGACTCCATTGAAGAGTAAGATTTAGCTCCCTCTCACTGTAAGAACTCAACAAATGCTCCATTTACAAACCATCATCAGCTCCCTGGCCACAGTGCCCGATCTCTACTGATACCAGGTGATCTAAGACCTTGACTGTAGTAAGAGAAGTAAAAATGATAAAAGTTGGCTTGAGGAGGTTCGCTGTGGATAGATTATCTTCCATAAAGCAAAACTGATAGTTGGTTCTGAATCCAAGCCTTTGTCCCAGAGTGGCAGCCTGGGTGGGCTGGAGCACACAGTGAATGAGGGTTACCGATGGGTGGATCCTATCATGCTGGGGCGGGCCTGTGTCCCAGAGCTAGGGTCCAGGTGAGCCAGGGTGAGCCCAATCAGTGACAAGAAAACACAAGTGGGGGCAAACCTGAGTGGAGATGGCAGGAAAATTACTCGAGGGCTAACGATAGCATTAATACTATCCAAGATCTGATCAGCGTAAAGTTGGACCAATAGTGTTGGCACTTTTCCAAAACCTGATTAGTCTCAATCTGGACCAGTAGTTATATAATAACTCCAAGACAAGCACAACCAAGAGGCAACCTTCTGCTGGGTCCCCTCTCATCCTGCAGGTTTTTGGGTCTGTTCTTGGCTCTGCTGCAGCACTGGAGGGCATGGCCACCATTGAGAGCTGCAACATGCTACTCCAGGATAGTGGAGGAGAATCAGGTTTTGTTGGCTGTGACCCTCAGAGCGGACACGGGCAGGCATTCCCTGTCTTGACTGGCTGCTCACACTGACACAGGCTTTCTTGACTGGAAAGGCCTGCAACTTACGCAGACCCCATCTGCCATCAGATGCAGAGAAACTTTGGTTTCAGTTCTATATGCATGTGCTGCATGTTCTGCTGTCACTCCAGGACCAATTTCTCCATAAACGTGGCTTTTGAAGCTCTTCACGGTCTGGTTTCAATCAGCTCTCCAGCTTCACTTCCATGGGTCCATCCTGACTCTTGGCCATAATATATTTTCCATGATATTGACAGCTTACCTCTTTTAGAACTGGGGGGCTTCATACATGCTATTTTTTGTGTTAAAAAGTCCTTTCTCCCTTTCTTCTTTTGGCTATTGTTACCTCCTACATGCTCTCCAGGAACAAAGTGCAATGATAATATATTCTTTTTTTTTTTTAAATGGGAGATCTTTTCATATTCTTTTTTTTTTTAATCTTTATTTTATTTTTTTTTTATGTGGTGCTGAGGATTGAACTTAGTGCCTCACACATGCCAGGCGAGCGTGCTACCACTTGAGCCACATCCTGAGCCCATGATAATATATTCTGTTAAATGTTTCCAAATCCCCATTTTTTTCCCTTTGAGTTCCTCTAGCACATTTCTCATTTTGTTAGGCTAGCCCAGAAGGAGAGGAATCATTTGATCTGTCCATGCAATATATCTCCA